AGTTTTCCATGTCATACTTCACTAACTTCAGCGAATTTTCAGAATAGAACGGATTGAAGTTTTTTACAAGATTTCTACTCGAAATATTCAGACCGATTTTTCTCCAACAGAAGTAGAATGACGGATAGTTCTTAAGAAACGCGATTCATGCAAAATCGAAAAGTCAATTTCTACGCCACTGGTGTAGTCTCAGGCATTTGTATGAATTGGCTATTTTGTAAGTACCACACGGAAAAAAATTTAAGTCAATATATTAATCAACTCGGGAGACAATTTTTTCGATTTCAAAATTGAACACCCTGATCACCGTCAGGGGGCTATTTTGGACTGATGACTGAAATATTGCGATGTTTTTCTAAAACACCCTGTATACAAGCAACGAATTGACTTTTGAACAATAACCGACCAATATTTTCTTATAGAACCTCGTCCTTGTCAAGGTTAAGAGAACACACGCCTCTACACGGGTAGTATCATATGATTATGTTTCGTGGGTAGCATATACTGTTTTACCTGCTCGCAGGTTTATATTGTTGTCCCCCCAATTAAACTACATTCAACTTTCAACGATCGGCTCAAAGCAACTCACCTACACACACGTTAGGTTTTAGATTTCGTAGACAGCATAGGCGGGTGTTTATAGGGCGATTAAAAACATTTATACCATTTTCTACTTCCATCGCCAACAGGCGAGGATTACAATCGCGAAAAGTTTTGGAAATGAGTTATATGAAATGTACATCAAGAAAAACCATGTGACTCATTTCCATCGGTCTGTCTGTCTGGCCACTAGTTCTAGGCCCCGATGTAACTTTGAAAGTACCAGTTCGATTTTGATGGTATTTTGACACAAGATTACAACTATGCCAAGGACGAAAAGGCTTAGTAGTTTTTGAAAATCGGCAGAGCTACAAGCAAAAAATGAAAAAAAATCACAATTTTTTGGCGATAGCATATTCACACGCCTCCATCACCAGTAATTCTATGCACCTATTAGACATATTTCATAATCATACAACCAAAGTTTATGTTTAGTTATTATTACTTCCCCACACAGTTGCCTATGATAGAGAAATACTTTCAATACACGCGCCCCTCGCAACGCAATGAACGTAGCTGCTTCGAGATCTGACCGATGGGTGTTAGACATAGCAACTTTGTCAGATGGTCGGTACTGTCAGTTAGCCAGGGGAGAAATGTCTAGATCGTATATTTTTCCTTTTTGTGTAGTGGTCGGCATATCCCTAGTTTTATACCAAAGCACTGGCGTAATTTAAGCCATAAAAATTTTTAGTAAGATAACTTTCGTTTGTTCACCGAACTGAATGTTATCTGCTATAATAGCTCCAGAATCAGCGGCAACTAGCGGCATAAGACAGCTTGCTGTTTTCATTTTCGCAAAGTTCGAATTTTATATGCAACTATTTCCTTTATTTTCTACCCGCATAAAATTATAAGATTTATCAAGCAACCACTAAACATTTAATTACAATTAAAAAATAAATAATAATTCCGGACTATTATATATATGAATGCCATCTAACATTATGTTTTGCTTCACGTCACAAGAGTTTAATGAGGCCCGCTCTTAGGCATTAAAGTAAGATTTACTTTGGTGATTCATGTTTCTAGAGCCACTTAAAGATTGGTATTTCCACAAGATAAACCTTTTACGGAACGGAAAAAATCAAACAAATTGAAGATAAAAAGCCCCGTATGTAAACAAAACGTTTAATCACAACGTAATACACCGTATCTCCTATATGTGATAAATATTTACAGCGTGCTTACGTGTTCGTATTTCTATAACATCTATTTATTTTGAAAAAATGGGATTATTTTGTAATCTTCGTAGTTTATTTGGTTATCAAACATCCGGCTCATCTGACTCTAGTTTCCGATAAAGAAAAATAATAAATCTTTGCGACAGTAGTAAACAGCTGTGAAGACGTACTTCTGAAGGCAAAGACAATGACGTCAAGTAGGTTGACTCAGCTTCCTCGACACTGACATGAGCGAAAATACATGGTGTTGCAAAGTGTTGTCAGGGAAATTGAACGATGGGTTCGCCACATTGAAATAAGGAAAAAATCACATAAATATAGGTCTGGAAATCATTAATTTCCACAATCTAGGACGTTTAAACTTGTCTTATAGTTCACATCTTTCGAAAACGCAAAGATATTGAGATGTATTTTGGTACATGCAAATGCATTTACAAAGGTTACTTCAATATGTACAAAATTGTTTTGTAAATCACTTACAGCAGTGGCGTTAATACCTGCAATTGTCTTTGGGTTTAGTGAAAAAAAAAAATTAAAAACTGGTTTTTGTAGAAAACTAGCGACTGTACTTTAAAGCTAGGTTGATTCTACTGAAAACTGTCATTTGGAATTTTTCGTTCAGACTCACTGCTTTATTAATTGCTAAATCAATGTATTGTTATTAGAAAATAGTGTATCGGCTGGCACTATTTTAATGACCTTATCGAAAAGCTCCAACAGACGTTTTCAAACAGCATGAAAAAAATACTTATTTTTATAAAAAGCATTGGCGTACATTTTTTAATATAAGAAGTTTAAACAGCGGACCCATGTTCTTGTGAACCCTTTTTAATATTTGTACATGCTTAAAATGCCCCTAAATTTTTCTGACAGCTTTGTGAATCAACACTGTATAACAAATGGTGTAAGTGTGTAAGTGATCAAATACATATAGAAGTTATATTTAGGCACTAGCTCCTGCACAAAAGGATGCAGCTATAGCAATATAGCTCCATTTATCTAGATGACACCACTTTCAATGTTTCAACTTTAGCAAGCCAGACAAGAGTTAGCTCCAGTATATCTCGAAAACAAATAAAACAATATAATCGTTTCCATATGCACGCTAGCTTTGAGCTACAATTATCACCATTTTATTCTTATCGCACCGCACAACGGCTAGAAGAATGTACAGGATGACACACGCTCGACCAATTTGAATTACGTTGTTTCCTTTTCACGTTCAGAACAACTTCCGCTCGAAAAATAAACAGCGTAAGCAATAAGTGAGGTAAAAGAATTTGCTAGTCGATGCTTGTTCCGAATGAGGCTAGAGATAAAAGGTCTTTCACCTCAATGCCTCAGGTAAAAATATTTTTCTAATATGCGGACTTTAGACAGCGTGCAAGGTGCTTTGATGGATTTGCTCATCTAAGGTCACTTATAATGCTACTGAACACCCTAACAGAACAATTCAAGGTCATTGAAATACTTGGCTGGCATAGATGTATACAGGGTGTGACGTACTTATTCCTCAAGAGGTAGTTAAGAAAATTATGGCATTATTTGTGGGGTAGGAAGTAGTTCTAAAAATAACTTGAATACAAGTTGTCGAAGTTTTCATTTCCAAGTAGGTAAAACATATCTTCAGAGTGTGTCAAAATATTGACCTCAAATATACATGTAGGTATAGTCAATGCATCCAAAATTTTCGTCCATGAGAGGGCACCAGTGGAGCAAACAATGGAAAATTTTCTGCTAAATGGTTCGATTTCAACATAAAGGGGTGGGGGAATTTTGAAATTCCATTTTTTTTGTAAAAATCGTAACAAATGTTTAGCCACTATTGTTGAAGTCATTGGAATTTGGAATGTACAGATGTGTTGCCAGAAATTCAATAAAAATCATACACTATTCGGGAATCGCAAATGGTTAAGACCATCTGAATCACTAGATTTTATTATCGTATTTTCTTATTTTGGGGGCTTCTGTGTGTTTCATTGAGTTTTTCTTATTGAATTTAAATGTGTAGCCTTACCTACATACATATGTGCACGCGAGATTCTGCGTTGAACAAAATGCTTTTTTTTATCGAAAATTAGTAATTCGTAAGAAGCTGTGATCTGACATGCTTATAAATAAATTTTTCGAATCATTCATGGAATCACCCATGGAAATTGGCTGGGTACAGCTTGTACCTCCAGCTTTGTTATGTTTCTCTTCAAATCGTCACTGGACGAATGCCCAAATGTCGACAAAAATACTTGATCAGAGATTGCCGGAAAGACAATAGACTGAAAAATAAGTATATTACATCAGTGATGTGTGATGAAGCAACCAGAAAACATGCATTCTCGATTTTTTGCTAATCCAAAACTCTTTTTAGTTTATTGGTGAGCAACCACATGTTAAAAAGCAAAGCTAGCTGACTTTGTGTTTAAAAAAAGACTCCCATCTGGATAACAGATTGTCAGAATACTTGTAGGTACTCAGTGTTGGTTCTGGAATTTAGCTGCAAGGATTGGAGCACAATAATATGTGTCTTTTTGACAGGTTTGAGATAAACGAAAAACACTGATGACAAATTTGTTGATCTAAACAAAGACAGAGCAAATCTTTTTTTGTATTAACTATAAAAATATTCCCTTTCAACTCTGGAGCTCAGAATAGACGGACAATGTGGCAGTGAATGGTGATATTGATTTTTGTTTCAATGATTCATCCTACGCGAAAATCAATTGTTCTGATGGATTTTAAAACTGTTCAGATGTGGTTGAACAAAAACATTATGTTCAGCATACATAAAATACTTGGCCTAATAAAACTGAAAATAGTGACTCAAAGTTGGCAATGCGGAGTGGAGCCAAATTGCTGCAATTAGAGTAATAATCATTTTGTACTTTTGGGATAGGCAAACCAAAAACGTTTAAGAAAAATAAGCAGGTTTATTGTATACCTACAGGCAAAAAATTGATATTCACAACTTTTGGTATAGTACTTTTTCCCCGAGGATAAGTATGAAACAAATTAATATCTTTAGGTGTAGCTTAATGCACGTAATTAGCATTTCCTGTAATAGTACGTTGAAAATTCTGATTCATCAATAAAACATGAGACAAAGGCAAAAAAAACCACTCACAACCCCACCCAAACCCAAATACCCTGCCCGTTAACGCCTACACAATTGTTTTTTCAATCTTCATTACTAAAATATACCCCAAAACGTATTATTCTTACCTTTGATATGCTGATTAGTGTTGCTGGACACGAAAAAACGGAACTAAAGTCTTCAGGAAGGTTAACTGTATTTTGTAGTGAATGTACCGGTTTGTCAGTGTTATCACAGCTGTTGCCGCACAATGCACACTCAATCGCAGTTGGCGAGAATCTGGCGTGGCGGAGCCGCGACAGCCAGGACGGTTACGCGGAAAATGAAGGGTGCGGTGTTGTCGGATTGGATGAGGAATCAGTAATTTTACTACTATGGCATCAACAGGATATCGCGCCTGCGTAGTCACGATCAAGGGAATTGGGATTGTTAAAACCATTTTTAGGTGTTAGGATACATCAATATATACCATATTCTAGGAAAAAAAATGGCAGACTTGGGCACACAACGATGGGGGTAATACTTTCCACGACATCCTCGGGAGCTGTTTTTTGCTTATCAAAATCCGCATGTTTGTACTTTTTGTGAGCGCTCATCGTAATTGGTAGTATATTTGTTGAACAGTGGGCGACGCCAACATCAAAGAGACCGACATGAGCATGCATGATAACTGTGATTGTACAATGTTGTTTACGCCACTGCGACTGCTTAGCTGTCTTTCGATGCCCGACAGGTAATGACACGGAAGGCTTTTATGAATTCGCAATTAAGTAGGAGATTAAAAACCCTGTTTCCCACGTCATATACATCTATATCTCTGGTTGAGCAACACGAGAAGAGTATTTACAGCTTTTTTCAATGAAGACGTCCAGCTTGATGAAGATATTTTTTTGGACTACGTTTCTTCATAATCATTACATATGTGCGACTGAAAAAACATCATACGAGTATTATTTATCAAACACGCTTATCATTTTTTAATTCTAGATATAGTAGTAAACTTACAACAGCAATTATTGTTGATTAGTCCATCCACTAATCAATGGTAGATCATGACATTTTAAGAAAATTTAGTAGATGCAATTTGGCAACACCGGAAAAGCATAGACGTACGAGTAGAAATGACGCGAAGCGCATCGACATAGAAAGTCACTTTCAAAGTTTGCCTAGCAAAACTAGGCACGCAAGGGCTATAACATCGGATAAAATAAATATAAGTTGACAACTAATTTTTTCACTTAACGTTCACGGATGTAACAAAATGAAAAATATAAATTTTGAAGTTACTAACTCTATAATAGATCAAATATAATTTACCTACCTGAGCTATAGAACTTGGATTCACCAAAAATTTCACACGCATATTTTTTACACAATATGCACAACTGTTATAGTCGGGTGGTTAAGGGCTACGACACTGCACTTTTTCACCAGAGTAAGTTTTGGCATGGCATCATAGAGGAAGAAGGTACTGATTTGTGCCTAATACTTGACTTTTAAGAAGTGGTGGATTCGAGCAGTGTATTCGTTGGGCCCAGTATATTATCATTACAACCTACGTGTTGAGATAAAGCCGAAACGACCCATATTTCAATATCTATCTTTTCCTGTCTTCCTCTTCGGTATATGACTATAAATATGGGCTGACCGCATTTCAACTCGACACATTGGTAGTATTGATATCATACTAGATCAAAAAGTGCCAGAATTCTGAAAAGTCACTGATCACCAGTTTAAATTCGCCATCATAGGAAAAATCGCGAATTTGGCTCGTAAAACAGTGATTTAAAAAATGACAGCACAATGCAAAATGACAATTCAAAGCACTTTAAATACAGCAAAATGCAGAAAATTGTGAATTCAGCACTATGAGATAAGTAACCCCTCGTAGTGTGCAACTTATACCCTATTTCACGAGTATTCATCACGCTTTGACGTCTACTGAGGTGAACAGCCTAACCAGTAAATGACCTTTTTATGTTAGTCTGCAACGTTGGCAATAATCAATCGGGTGTAAAGCTAGTAAAACTTGTTTGTAGCCTTTTGATTTTTGTATGCAAATGAACTTTTCTAAAAAAAAGGGCTTTTAGCAAGCACAAAATCAATTTGTAGCATACCAACAACCAAAACAAAATATGGTTCTGTCTACCTGGCATTGACGGATCCGTCCTCTACCGATTTGGGGAATTTTTAAATCTTACTAGATAATCACCTGTGATTCTACGGTAATGGATTACTCATGAAAAAGATTATAGGCACCACTTTCTAAACGTGAGCTTTGGCAATACTTCCTCAACACTTCCGTGTAACAAAGTGGAGCGGTCGTAATGACGGCGCTGATGGCGGATCCCGTTTTCGCCGTATTTCTAGATGTCATGGAAAATATCCCAGATAATGTGTGTACGTCGTTGGAATGGAGTTCGGCGGGGTTTGACACAAGCGGTACCAGCTCAAACACAAAATAGTTCGGAAATTATCTAATTTTATTTTAAAGTTTGTTTATCTGTTTAAGGTTACAAGGGGAGGTCTTTCTGCCTCACCCTGTAGATGGGATCTAAAAGTACCACCGATCTAATTTAATGGAAATTCTTTTAGTGACTGTTGGACCAATGGGCACAAAGTCCAGAAATGCTGTCTATTTGAGATACCACACACGGTGTCAAAAGATTAGTGCCTTAGCCCAAGCGGGGACGACTACCTGCACCATTTAGCAATACGAATTTGGTTAAAGTTTTCATTTTTTCCTGACCTTATTTGCGGTGGGAACTGAAGTTAAATTACATATTAACATTTCCGCTTTTTCCACAAGGTGGAGTAATTAAAATTTCAACACGACGTTTCGTTCCCTGTCCTCATTCATCAACCTTATTTTTTACGGATGCCATATTGTACTTTTGCATAAGTGAACGAACAGAGTGAAAAATGTATGTCACACCTTGACATTGTCAAACCTTAGTTCTTAAAAAAAACAGAATTAGTACGGCTTGAAATTGTCAGATAGTTATTTGTTTCATATCATCAGCCAAACATTTCTTCAGTTTTTATAAACTAGGCATAGGTGATTTTAATTTTATTAATAATTGACATGGATTGATATTATAAGACTACAAATGTCTAAAAAAGTAGTCTTTTTATAGTTGGTCTTAATAACACATCCGATGTTTTTATATTACTGTTTAAGGGTAGTATTGGGAAACTTTGAAAACGGTACCATTTTATGTGACTGATTTTGGAGTACGCAAAAGCCTCGACGGTGTGGCAACAAATTTCAGAAGATGCAATAAACTTTTCGAGCCCAACTATGGAAATACTAGTTTTTTTTTTTAAATAACTTTTCAATATCCATGTATAACATATTATACATTTGTTGAATCAATGTTAAAAAATAATCGCCTTGATTATTGAGGACCACAGACGAAACGTCAAATTGAAATACTGATTATACCATTTTGTAGAGAAGAAAAAGTGGCAATATTATTGCACAACTTATTTTGAAATCCCACTTCAAATATAGCCAGAAAAAATAAATTGGTTAACGGGCAAATTCGGTTTTTTCATCTCTCGTTTTCTGCATATCGTGAATTGTGAAGCTGTAAGAGGCATTTTCTTAGTTAACCTGAATGACCAACCTTGCCGCCATTCAACCCAGGCGACGTGTTTTTATCTGGTTCCGAGATCACAATGGTTATGGTCCAATTTGAAACACCCCGTATCATGTGTGTGTTCACGTGATTTTATTATATCGTTAAGTACCCTGTGCGATTTATTTTTTCGTAAAATGTGCACCCGGTATCTTAAAAAGCATTTCTGAGCTTTGCGCCCATTGGAACATATTATCAGCTCAATATGAACTATAAGTATACGAATTTTCATTCTTTACTGGTGGTCAAATATCACGTTTTGTACCTGGTACTTTATACACATCTCATCGGCAGTCCAAAATGAAACTCTCGTTAAATTGACGCACCGCATCGTTCTTACAATGTTTGAAATAACGAAACAGCAGCGAAAATGTAAAAAATAAATTGAAGAGAAGTGCCCATTATTCATTTGATAAGGAATTTCAGCTGATACTGCTGTCATATGTCGTCGTTCAATACAAAAACACAAGTTTGTTAACTCTTTCATAATCTTGGTGCTGCCTGTGTAACCCCTATGGGATTTGCAAGAAATAAACGGGCCTACGCAGCTCTAGATGAAAACATCGATGCCAACAATCACAATAAGCTCGCGAAGTAGCAGCAGCATCTTGAAGACGCTTACGACAAACTAACATCAAATCGATAACTACGCTACTGCTGTAGGAATGAGCCAATTTCGGTTCATCAAATCCCATTTGTACTTTTGGAACTTAATATCAGCAGTTTATTAAGGTTTTGGTATATAATAATAATAATAATAATTTTTATTGGAATGTTTATACATAAAAATATAAAAACGACAACATTCCAAAAGGAAAGAGGATTGGCAGGGCCATTTTTCACCTCCCCTAAAAAGTTAATTTCATGAGCGTTTTTTAACATCAACAGAATGATTAGTATTCACAACAAATATTATGCACAACACAGTATATAATACGATATAGTCCGAGTGTTAATGGAGGGTAGTGTAGCAAGCGCCATAAATTTAATTTGTGGATTCAAATCTTTGCAGCTGTAGTAGCACTTTTTTCATCTCATTTCTGAAGTTTTGGATGGATGGTGCTTCAAAAAGTTTTAAATGATCGTTTAGTAGATATGGTGCCGTGTAAGTAAAACATTTTTTGAATTTAGATGTTGTATGAACTGGAATATTGAAGTATTCACTGTTGCGTAAGGAAACTTGGCGGAGTGAACATCTCTTCTCCAAAGCAATAAACAGATATCTGGATAATTTATATTTTAAAACTTTATAAAGTAGAGTTCTATACTGAAGTAATTCACGATACATGAATTTTAAAAGATTTTCTCTCACACATGTGTTACTAGAAAAATTTGCTTATTGTTAGATGAACTATATACTGTTTAAAAGAAAGTTCCACCTTTACAGACAACCTGTTTACAAAAAACTAAATTGTTTGAGTGTTAGGCGGTTACTATGTATTCATTTCCGTTATCAACATTATGAGGAAATACTCGATACTCGTAGCACATTAAAATACCAATTAATCTGGCAAAAACTAATAGAGGGTTACTAAAATTCTATTGAGAAAAAACATGGTCAATGTTTAAAAAAATTTATTATTTCTTTTAGAACGGCATAAGATAACGGAAATTTCAAATTGCACAGAAAAACGATTCTAAAAACTCAAATCTTTAAAATGCTGATTAAAAATTAACATATACGAAATAGTTCTCTTATGTACAGCCACATAAGAAAAAATTCCAATGAAACAGCAGAAAAAAGTATCTTAGCCCTAAATACAAAATTTAGGAGAGAACTTTTTACAAGCCAAACTTATGGATTACCAATCATGCACTGTTTGAAAAATAATATGGGAACAATCCTGTAAAATTTAGAGAAAAGGCACAGAAACATATTACAATAATATGGAAATTTCAGCATATGTTAAGAAACTATGAGATGAATTTGAAGGCATATTTGATTTTATTCTAAATATGAGGAATATTTCAAAATTTTGACCCATTGGTCATGTTTGTGAAAGTTTAATCTACAAAAATCGCGTTAGATTGAAACTGAATCTATACTCACCAACCTTGTTCCTGTTCCCATTAAACAATACTACAATCCGATTCACTCGTAACATCGTTCCAATTCATACAGATTTACATTTTTCAATGAGTTCACAATGTTCACAAATTCATACTAATGTTTGTTATATTTTTTTTTTAAAATCAAAGTATTCTCCCTATTACCTATGTTAGTCCCGGTTATACCAAGTTAAAATTGATGAAGAAGTTCTGACAGAAAACGCATTTCAAAAATTTAAGAGTGATTTCGATAATTGATGAGAGTCGAAATTTGAATTTAGATTTATTTCTTATAGTTATTCGTTTTTTCCAAATGCTGTAAAGTAAAAGAAACCTTATTTATAGTTCTTACGAAATTTCCGGTAAATTTAATCAGATGAGGTCTTACGAGTATATTATTTAATAATAAAAAAAGAGTATCAAAATGTGTGACTGCTAATAGTTAATCTAAAACACTATAATACATATGTACAAAAATATTCAAAAAATCTTTGGTTTGTTTTTCATGGCACTCTTAAATTTCTGAATGGCGCGAAATGAAAATTGAAAACCGTCAGCTCTGAGCATAATTCTCGACAAAACTCATTCCATGTGATCACTTTGTTATTTACAATTGCATTGATATCCACGTCAAACGGAACAAGTTTTCGGAATACTCTCGTATAGCTTTCCAAAAGCCTTTCTGTAATATATATGTATATAATATTGTTAATCTCCGAATATTCAGAAAATGTTTTGTTTTTGGAACGTATGAATACTGAAAAATCAACCCAGTGCAAATTATTCAAAGATTGTATATCCTCGTAACAATAGAGCTGAGTAACAACAACACTACTTTGAGTAAAATTGTCGCTTATTGAATCAGTGTAACCACAGAAAAAGACTTAATAGATAAAAAAGTTTAAAGAGTTTTATCCAACTCACTATCGTTCATTGAATTCCACATCGGCATAGCACAATATGGCTTCAAAGCTGACATATTAAATTAATAGCAATTTGCTGTTTTCAATGCACAGAAAGGCATATATAAAAGTAATTTCCCCGAGTGCAGAGATTATATGAATTCAGTCTGATGATAGATATAGAAAAAGATGTACAATTAAATAAATAATCTCTTCTGTACAGATAGTTACAAAATGAAGAATATATATTAAAAACTCTTCCTTATCGCTATTATAGTATTTTTTTCTGTTCCTTTGGATACCATTCAATGCTCAAAATCCCAGTATCTAGAGCACAGTCCATAAAACAATCAATCTGTTTTTCATGGCCTCTTAATTCCAAAAGCAGAAAATTCAATGTTCATGTCCATGAAAAATATTTTCAAAAACGAAAATATTTACAGGACCTTAGAGAAAATAAAGCATTGTATTTTCTAAGTTATATGGAATAACTGATGTCGTAGTATATTCAAATATACCATAATAGTAAGACTGATCGTGTACATTTTAAAATAAGTGGTGCACATTTTGAATACCTAAACAGAACCTACACCATGCTCTGCCTTGTATGTCTCGTCCTTAAGCATTAAACAGTATCCCAATGAATTCAAATCTCTAAGAAAAAATCTAAGCAGTAAATATCTTCACCACTTTGTTAACCGACCGATTACAAATCGGGCATCTCTTTATCGTCCTCAATGTACGTTTGGCACATTTGTAACAACAACACTGATGCGCTATATTCGTATGCAAAAAAATGCTATCCTTGGGCGCGCTATTACAAAATATGCACAACTCCTCTTTGGAAGACGATGTGGTAGAGGCAGATGTGCTACTACACGAGCTAGTGCTCACTTCCGATCCCAAGTCCGACGTCTGGCTTAGAGATAAAGGTTTCTCTTCTGTGGGCAATGCTTTCGGATCAGTTACAAACGGTTTTCGTAGGATACCCGTCACTGAGAGGTTTTTAGGGTAGTTCTTACCAAGTTGCTTTCTCTTCTCCTCGAAATCTACAAGAGGGGAGACTTTCGCTGTGTTTGAGTCTGTTTCACCGTCAGAAAGGCTCTTTCGGAGCTTCCTACGTGGTTTCTTTACCTCAAAGTCCGATAAACTACTTTCCGATTCGCACCGCTTCCGTTTAGTGGCGGGATTTAGTAATACTTCCGCTTTGTATTCAGTTTTTTCTTCAGTAGTTACTGTGGAAGGGGATGACGTACCTGTAATTGCAAAAGTTCGATAGTCTAGTATAGTATAGTGTTAGTTGTTCACAGACATATCAAACCTAAGGTGCACTTATAGGCGTTCATGTTTTAACAGAATATAATGTTCTCCCTGCTTTCCAGAAATCAGGCTCTTCTAAAAATTGAGAACCCTATATAAATAGCTGGTACTATAAAACATAAAAATTGCTGAATCGTGCGTCACAAGATTTGTGGAAGACACTACAGTATCGCGATCGTGACAGTCTAATTATATAGGGTGCGGCAGAGAGGATGGACGGTTTTAAAAAAATCATAAAAAATAGTTAATTTTTACTCGAAAACAAATTTATTGATGGAATCAGGTTGACAAGGAAATAGCATTTGAGACAGTCAAGTGTGGAAAATCACATCAGGCATGTGGTGGCCGAAATCGTTGATGCAGTGCTGGAGGCGTTCTTGGAAGTTCGCTTTCGTAACTGTTGCACAATGGCCAATTTGCAGGGGTGAAAGCGGAGATCCATATGCAAAATTCGCCTTACCGAACGATCACTAAGGCGAAGTGCAGCAGCATGTTTCCGGGCAGATCGAGTCGGACTGCGAAGAAAGACCTGTCGAACGCGTTCAACATTTTCAGGAGTTCGAACTGTTCGCAGCGCTCCTCTTGGTCTTCTGTTGATCAGTTCAGCACGCCGGCGAAGTGATTCAACCCAACGAAGGATGGTGTTTCGAGAGGGAACAGCTCTATTCCGATGAATGTTGAAGTGGCGACGAAACTCACGCTGTACTACGATGACTCATTATTTCGGATGAAACAATCATAGGCGAAAACGCGGTGCTCCACCGCCCAAGGCTCCATAACGACAACTGGTACAATAATGCTAGGATCTCACGAGTCAAACGGCACCCTCCCCACCTCTCTCGTAGACGGAGGCGGAGAGTACTACCCATCCCAAAAACGTCCATCCTCTCTGCCGCACCCTGTATTAGCAAATTTCCCCGAAATAATTGTAAAGTCTGGTTTTATTGGTGCAAGTTGTTCAAGGGGGTATTTAAAACATGGACGCATAAAATGGGTACACAAATTTTTGTGGGAAAACTTTTTATTTCACAACAAAGAATGAGAGAACGTGTTTTTTTTTTGGGATTCAGTCGGAAGTGTTGGCAGGAACGAACAAGCTTTTCAAATAAGATTTTTAGGTATTTATGAGAACTACAAAATCAGACCTCACGTGAAAAGATCCGACTAATAGCAAAAATGTTATAGCCGAAAAACGAGGCAAAATGCAGGTTTTGGCACTTGTTGGTAATGAGACGATAATTTCACGCAGCTACTTGAAATTTTTCAAATCCGTAGGCTTCATATTTCTAAATAACCACAATAAAATTGGAGTATATTGGTCAAGTAGTTTTTTGAGAATTTCTAATTGTTTATCCCAAAACACCTGTTTTCCAGCAATCACTACTAGTTTATTGAGCAATATACAGGGTTCGTTCAACGAGCATTTAGTAGCAAAATACACGTATTTACCTTGCCGATATGAATCACAAACCATTCCGAAAGATAAATGATATTTTTATGCGAAAAACAAAGGTTCCGTTTTTTACTTCTAAACAAATTCAAGCATTTCGTATTTGTGAGTAATTGAACAAATGCGCTACGATATTCGAAAAACATACGTTACGATACACATTTTAAAACAAGCCGGATGTGATGTTTTGTTGCGAATTACTCACAAATACGAAATGTTTGAAACTGTTTAGAAGGAAAAACGTAACCCATCCTTTTTTGCATAAAAATAATATTTGTCTTTCGGAATGGTTTGCAATTCATATCGGCAAGGTAAACTAATGTATCATGCTATAAAAGGCACTTTAAACTAACCCTGTATATGGCTGAATAAACTAGTGATGGCCGGAAAACAGGTGTTTTGGGATAAACAATTAGACATTCACAAAAAACTACCTAACCAATCTACTCCAATTTTGTTGATTATTTAGAAGTATGAATCCTACGAATTTGAAGAATTTCAACTATATGCGAGAAACCATCGTCGAATACCTAAAAATCTTGCATGAAGATTTATTCGTTCCTGCCAACACTTTCGATTGAATAAAAAGTTTTTCCACAAAAATTCATGTACCCATTTTATGCGTCCATGTTTTGAATACCCACTTGAACAACTAGCAGCCATAAAATCAGACTTTACAATTATTTCGCAAACCAGGGGTATTTTCGTCTAATATGATTAGGTTATGTAGTAATCACGTGAAGCAGTGACAAGTATTTTGATGTTTACGTTTAGGCGAATGTCACAGGATCAGCATTTACAGTGATTCCTCAGTCTTATCATGGAATGTGATGTTTCTTGACCGTGTATCCAGGGCGTCAATAAATAATTACTGATGAATGATGACGTTATGTGCAAATATTGATCATGTGACATGCATCTTAGACGTACAATGCACCGCAGGGTTATTACCTAAAAAACGTGTATAAAGAGAAAGAAAATGTTCCTTTTATTTATGTCAATTTTTGTCTCTCGTACCATCTCGCATAGTTTTAGAGACGAAAATTGTTTGGCCGGAACTGGTTTATAAATTTTTTTCTTATTCCATCAAGTGTTACAATTTTTTGCGTCGTATTGTTATGTGCCTGAACGAAAATAGTGATCATATTGAACAGCTCTTATGAAAGATTCGTATTATTGCCTTATTTAAATAAAACTGTAATAAGTATTATCATACTTGTTTATTTTCTCTAACTCCACTTAAAGAATTAATAAGACGTTTGGGAACTTCTTGAAGCAACATTTTTTTTTCTGGAAAGATGGGCTGTTTTTATAGGACATAAAAAAGTATATAAAAAGATATGCTAAATAAAAAAGTTCAGAGTCGTCGGGATAGTTGCCAAATATTCTGCAATAATTTGTGTAGGGGTTCGGGTAGTCAAAGTCAGATATCAGAATGTCTAACAAAACACGTGTGTTCCAAATTTCATTCAAATCTGACTTTTGCTTCTTAAAATATTCGAAAAAAGTGTGCTTTAAAAAGAAAACTTTGGGGTCCTCTAACGGATAAACGAAGCACATTTGCTTAGAGGTAAATCATGTCCGATAGACTTATTTTGAGTCAAAAAATGTGGTACTTCTATGTCCACGGAATATTGGGACATTCTGTATAATGTAAATTTTAGCGACGAATCAGTTATCAAAAACTATGCACAAAATGACCTTCTTAAGACAATTCAAATCTAAGGAATTTGGGGGATATCCTCCTAACGACAGTACCCATTTAACTGAAGAAATAATGAAATATTAAATCCTATCAATGCCGCCCCTGTAAATTATTTCATATAGATTAAGCACTTTTCGATTTCAAGTCCCACTTTGAATTTTAGAGTCCTCAGGATCTTAAACATGATAAGTGTTACAGTGTATGTTAAAATAGAAAGAGTATGGACAATTCATGCTAAACTACCTGTTTTCAAGTGAGATTCCGGGACGACGATCTGGTCCAAATCCAAAAGCGGCCAATCCTGACTGGAGCTTATTCCAGAATCCTGAGATGCTGATCCAGAGCTTTGAGCCAATCCACTGAGACAGGACCGCAGAGTGTCTAATTTTACTGGTGGTTCTCTGATGGGTACTTCTTTTTGCTTCTTTTTCTTGGTACGCTTCGCCTTGCCTCGTGGCCTGGGTGGGAAGAAGCGTTTCCGATCCTGAACAATCAATAAACTAGTTTATTTTATTATGTTAATATTGGTTTGTATTAATATATTTATCTTGATCTGATTCTTTGCCATAAATAATATACTAAATTAGCACTGTTATATAATAGTTTACTTGAATTTGGATTTAAATTTGAGAAACTCAACGTTTCAAAACAGCATTCTTCACAATGTAGCATTAACTATAAATAGTTGGATGTAAATCTATTAATTTGGTGCTTTGTGGTTTTAATTGATGTAGGATGTTATAGAAGTAAGCATATGCCAACAAAATTCCTTTTTTTTTTCACCTTTACAACGAATAAGACACTAAGGAATTAGAATAAATTCAACCTTGGTATGCCTTCCACTTTAAACTGCCAAACATCTGAAAAAACTGCACGTTTGTAGATTATGTATTATAAATGACCAGCAAAATGAGGTGTATAATAAAATTGCGCCAAACGAACAAGAACAAATCAGCAAAATGCTAGCATATACCAACTTGGAAAAAATGTAACAAAATCATGAAACCTCTCCACCGACCACGTCTTTTGATATCATACCGTTTGAAACGCACCTTATGACAAGAAATACATAGCGGGAAACCCCTGTACGTCTTGCTTTTCTTGCATTGTCTGCAGGTCTGCTAGAAAACAAAAGAACTGAAAAGTCTGCTCTGTAGCCCATCGTTTTCCATGAAACTCGATTTTCACCAGTACCCATATGCTAGAAAAATTCTAAACAACCCCTCCAACGACATCATAGTTATACAAATGAAATGTAGAAGTTCAGGAGAAAAAAATAAGTTCGTCAATGAAAAATAACAGCATTTTGTGATAGGTTACCCGACTTGATTTGAGATGATCCTAGTTCCATATTTTTTATAAAAAAGCAGCATTTTTCTATGGCAGCAACAAAATCAAACTTTTTAATTTTTTAGCTTTTGCAGATTTATGACATCAAACACTAGAAAGAAGGTCATACGCACAGCAGTCTCCTTAGGATAAATGTGGCATCACTTATAATCCTGATAAACCATACCAGTTGGATTGAAATATTCTACATACACTCGTATGTATGTTCGAAATATTTTGATTTTGGTCGTCAAGCAAAATTCGGATACTGCGCCTAAACTCAGTACATCATAAGATATTTATTTGAAATTTCTATGTACAGATATTTATTGCTTTTGCATAATCAGTGAAGAACAATGAACCATAATACATTCACATTAATAAAAATGCTGTTATTTTTGATAAATCAAAACATATAAATCTTAGCAAAGCCACATAAGAACAATTATAACATTACGAAGAGTTGGACATATCAAGAAAAGTTACCTGAAAACTGCTAGCAACACACAACATAATAACTGAAACGAAGCAAACCCGAATATACAGTTCCCCACTACTTATGAATCTTCTTTTTTTAGAGCACTGGTCAGTTCTTTAGATGCAGGTTCAATGCACACAACACAAAAATTGGTCTAATTGTCTAAACACTAACTAATCTCAACACTAAACTATTCTAGTAACACTCTCAGGGATGGCGTGACATTTACTAATTAAATACAATGTGGTATGTAGTAAAAAAGATAATAATTTGTTTGTTTCCTTAAGTTGCATTTTCTGGCATTAAGCAAATGTGAAAAAAAGGGTGGCAATATTTCTAGGGCATAAAGTAGTTCAAAAAACGATACAAAACGTTCAGGGATCAGGGAGCAGGGATCCTAAACTGCCCCCTTACTGAGATAGGTGAAATTATAATTTCAAAATGGGGAAAATTATATCTTGGATTAAGATAATGAATGACCTAAAAGTTTGTAAATTCTGTTCATTCTTGTTCTTCTTCGAAAACTACACCAGTGTCGTAGATATTTTGAGACTAAAAAGGAAATTTATTTTCTACACAGCTGACTTTTCTAAACACCTATTGCATTTTAAAATAATCTTTTTTCCAATACTACTTTTGGAGAAAAATTGGTTACGACTATTTGGGATTAAATGCGTACGAAAAAAAAAACTTCATCCCATTTTGCTATGGAAATATGCTGAAGTTAGCGAAGTTTGAGATTGAAAATTGTGTGTAGTGTATTTGGCGCGTAACTCACGATAGCGTTAATTGGACAATGTTCGTGTTTGGAACATTTTAGGGCCTCTGGTTATGGCACTTTTTTGTTATATTTTATGTACATACTTTCTGAATCACCCTATATAGTATCATTACTCAGTAAACAGTTTTCAGTTATTATGGTAAAAGAAGTCGATCATATCACCTACACGGAAAAGTATTTTTACTGAACTAGTAAACAACACAAATTAAAACTTGATACCGATTCAACAATCCATTGTTCCTTTCAAACACAATAGGTGCATCAACGCGGAACGAAGAGAACTGTGATAGGTACAATAATTATTACAGAAGGACCTCGACAGGCTCAAACTTGTTGGAAGCGGCATATTTAACAGATGTATATTTTAGGAGGGAATTTCAGAGTGATCTGATTAACAGTGCCAACAAGAAGTTTCTGTTAGAGACTACCATAATGGCGCTATGAAAAGTGGCGTCAAGCAGATTGAATCGGCCGAACAGTATAAAAATGGCGTCAAGTAGATTGGCTCTGTACTTCTCGCATAATGAGTCATCATAAAAGAGAATTACAAGTTCGTTTCATAAAAAAATAACTATAAACATAATGTAACAACGGATTTAAATGGATCAAGTCAGTCAGATAGGCCCCATACACTTAGTACCCAGTCTTCACAATATTTCTATGATTCTAAGGGTTATGTCTAATGAGATGTGAAGAATTATCGGAGTTAGGAGCGCATAAATAAAAGGCCAAAAATTGATATAACCTCTCCCCCACTCCCCAATTTGTTTCCTAAAAAAATATCCAAAATAAGCAGGAATCTGTGAAAGGTCAAAAAACGAAGTGTAATCAATAGGCGTGGGAAGAATGATTTCCAAAAGGTCTGTTGCATTTGAAAATAAAGGTGATTTCTAATTTCAAAGAGATCTTAGGAAGAACTCAAGTGCGAATATGGAAAATGTTGAATCTTCTCGAATAATTGTAGGACAAATCTCTTCGAACCGGCCGATTGAAGAATTTTGTACTATGAGTTTAAGATATAACAGATCATTCGCTGTGTAAATGATCAATAAAAAATTCTGGAAAAAGATCTTCACAACTACTATGAACGATGGGTATGGGACATTCTCGAGTATTATACGTCTTGAAATATAACCAATTGTGTTTTGTCTACCATTCAAACAATAATCATGGTATGTGAACGGGTACATATAATGGAACAATATCACGTGATAAGATATAAAACAGAATTACAATAATGATTACGCATCCTTACATGTTTCGACTTGTGAGTAATGACTGCAATTCCATTATGATTAGGAATTCTCGGTAGTTATGATTCAATACTTCTACTACTTAATCTCATGCAATTTTCCAATATCTAAAATAACGATAGTTCATACCAATAGTATTTCCCTAATCGTTATATTTCCGATAAGATAATAAAGGAAGAAAAAAATATCTAATGATATTATTCCTTATTATACCCTATTATTCCTTCCAAATCTTATGTAGCATACACCACGAAAGTTTATGAGAGTAAAATAACATTTTATTTTTAAAAAATAAATAGAAGTTTTTTTTTAAGTGACAAAATAGCTAACTCCATGTCTGAGAAAGAATTCTACACTTGTACATTTATTTTTTAGTCGAAAAACAAAAAAGAAACAGTACAGTGGTGCGTTTGTAAATCAATTGGTGATGTAATACCATACACAGTAATGGAAGGCAGATTGACAGATGAAATTTTACTCTGGAATACTGTGGACCATGCCATTGTATTTATTATAAGAGCGCTATTGATAAGACGTAGCCCATTTATCGTGAAAAATACATATTATACCAATTTTGCACACTTTTTTATAACCAAATAAGTAAACAAACGATGAACTATGAGAATGACAAGTGACAACACTCTTATTCCCAAGGTTTTGAACTCGGGAAGAAAACCTCCCCCATTACGTTCCAGCAGGATTACTTTGTTCTATTTCTGAACGCATGTGACCGGTACGTCATAACAAATGCTAAAATTGTTACAGAGTAGTACAAAGTACACTGTGTAAAAATGTATGAATCACAGGGCAGATTCATACCTGCATACAATAATTGTATAGTATTTAAAGACATCGACAAGATTCAGCATGTCTGGAGTGGTTTAATCCCTATAACCAAAAACGTATTCAATAGGATGAATCACCCCTCCTTTACAACAGGCTATATTTGAATTGGAATTACGGAGGGGCTATCAACAGCTGGTAGGTTGCAAACGATGTTAAGCTTTTGTCGTTTGTAATTATTTTTGCTGGACGATATTTTAGGTGTACCGAAAACGATAGTAACGGATTATAGCAGGGAGACTCTCTGAGTAGTAGGAAAACAGGAACTGGTGACATTTTTTAGTTCTTGGAGAATATTAGGAATTGAACACAAGAATTAGGAGCTTTCAGCACTGTTTCAAGCCTTAGCAAACATCTATTACCATAGTTAGAACTAAGGTCCCACTGAAGGTCAGCTTTTTTGGATGGTTTTCAACATTTCGGCCAAAGCCGATGATTCGTTTGATCATACTTTCGCATCCACTTCTTATAAGCAGAAATTTATGTTTTAATGTTTTTAACTCAAAACTTAACACAAACCGTGAGAATAGTTTGATGAAATCTAAGTAGTGTTACATTCGGATTAAAAACTTTATATATTTAATATACCTTTAAGAAATATCAGACAGAAAGATTTTGAAATCGGATTATTTCCGCTAATAATAAAAAATGGTATTCTAGTAGCGTTCTGGTAATGAAATCAGTGATATCTTCATTGGCATTTTTTATACAACTGACTTAGAAATAAAAAGTTACACACGTCTACATTGGAAAACCGATTTGCTAGTGCTAGTATAATTTTATAACATTCAACATGTAAAATGATTGTTGCGTGAAACATCCAAGTAAAAGACAGTTTTAACAACAAAGTACCCATACCCATCGTCTTCTATTTTAATAGTAGTATAAGGGACAGAATTAAGGTCGACTTCAACACATAATTATGAACTGATTTTTGACAAAAAAAAACAGGAAGTGAACATGGAGTTTTGAAGCTAAGCATAAAACGGGTATCAATCAAAAAATAGAAGTATAGTAACACCTCATAGTGAATTGTTATTGTTTGTCCTACAGCATTAAATATATATGACAATATGTACTATACACTGGTACCAGCTGCCATGCTAATAGATAATTTTAAATAGCAAAAAGGTAATGGCTAAGTAAAAACCTCTAGTCATATACATATGTCAATACCTATTAACACCTCTTGAAAGGCGTTTCAATTGTCCTTGAACTCAATGACTGTGTCTATTATTCCAGTCAAAATAAGAATTAGGTTTGCAAAAATTCCTACAACGCTGGAAATCGTTGCAAACCTTGAAAACACCATAATGAATAATATGTCAAAACTCAACATATATCCTTGTTTCAATAGGGTTGAAATGTCAAAAAAATCACGTTTCGTCATGTTTCTCTAAAAGGGGATATACCAGAAAAATAACAAACAAAAATTGTAGAGAATACAATTATCCATGAAAGTTGTTCAAGTACTTTTATTCCTCGAGTCGTAATTGAGTGATCTTTGGACTCTAGATACTCTTCTATTCTTATGCGGCACATATTACGTGTACGCCATTGACCGTTCAATGCGAACATATATGTGCATGCATTGATATAAGCGACTACTAAAATACATCTCACTTATACAGGGTGTGTCAAAAAGAATACATATCTCAGTTCTTATCAAACGATCGAGCATAGCCATACCTTAGAACCCATAAATCAAATAATGCATAAACGAAGATTTACAAAAAAGTATTCGGGCAACTTTTGTTGAGACTTGCATGCTCTACTCTTCTGATGTAAGCTTTTGTGCGATTACTTGTACCGTCCAGAGGAATATAAGAAAAATGGTAATTTTAACATGTAACCTCCAATAGAAAATTTTGCGCTTAAAGGGTCGTTGGTGATTCTTAGAAAACTTCTCGTGAGTACTGATTTTTTTAAACCTTTGGCCACTTTGCCTGAAGACCGAATGTGTATTTTTAGAAGTGTGGCCGAAGCCGGCGCGTCGGTCGGATGCTAGTTACAACCAACATTTGAGTAGCATTAAAAAGAAACGTCAAGTAAATTGACTCTCTGCAGAATGAACAACAGAACCAGAAAATCCTAAATATAGGTTTAAACATTTATATTTTTAAATAACTGGCCACGCCACCCCTTCAGTCACGGCGCAATCTACCATATAAACGCTTCAAAAACAGATCACAAGCAAAACAACAAATTACCTGAAAGCATTGTTCACAGTACCGATACATCGGATTATCATTCCTCGCCCTACACTGAGCACAAGTGCTGAACCCCTTTGTGCCAGTGGGTGAGGGATCCTCCAAAGAGCTGTTGTCAGACTCTTCCACGTCAGTAATCCAGGTTTCCAGCGAAGAATCGCAAATGGCCGCCGCGGCTGCAGCTAGTATCATGTCCGCAGGCACCAACTGATATATGACATACAATATGATGGGTTGTCAAATAGTCCAGAATAGTTAAGAAGGGTTATGTACTATTATTGCAATTCCTTGGATAAGAATAAATTGGCTATCCTTAAGCCCTATTTTACTATTGACTATCCTCGAATCAGACTATACCAATCAGAACGCGTTTTAGTAGTAATGAATCTAATGAATATAGTCGATTTCTTCTAAAATACCTCTCAAATTAGCGAAGAATTATGAAATTGGTGTCAGATGGACTTCTAGTTACACTACAGTAAATCAAGAAATTCGCCAATTCGACCAATTAGAAACAAGAATCATATCCACGCTCACAGTGTAAATACTAGAACCAAATTTAAAATCATAAATACCTAGGAAACAAAAAAAAAGATACAGTGTCAATTACGTGAAGTTTTCAACAATTCATTAATTAAGTTCCATTATAAAAAAAAAAAATTAAATGACAAGGGGTATCGAGTATGATTTTTTTAAATCGGTCGATTCGTTTTCAATAAAATTACAAAAATCTTTATTGATCTTAATTTGTTCAGATAGAAAACAAAAACACACGAAAATATCACCTTTATTTCAATGAGTGCTCAAAATGTTGCCGTTATTGGCCAAACAATGATATAGGCGATGTTCACATTCCTGACATACATTTTCTAAAACATGTTGTGGGATATCATGGCAGCTTTCGATGATGCGTTCACGAAGTTCATCCAAACTTTCAGGTTGGATGAACTTGCTGGAAATATATTTCAGCCTCATCAAGTATAGGGTTTGCATCCTCTATGATTTAGTTTTCAATGGTTTCAGTGATAAGCGGATCGATGGTATTTTTCAACATATCCAGATAAATGTCTCCATTCAAATTTCCATTAATAAACAATGGCCCAATCACTGAACGGGGGTGGAGTAGTTTCTTGTTAAACAGTTGTTCCGCTTGACAAATCTTTTGACGTGTCTCGACGTTTTTTGTTTTAATCAGTGATTTTCGATAAATCCGTGGTGGGAAATTTGAATACCCTATATACAAATGGACTATAATATAAATATTAACAAACAAATATCAGCATGAATTTTTTAAAATATACTTTTCCAAAATTATTTAGTGACGTTGTTATTTTTAATAAAATTCTCAGGAACTGATGTCATGTCTATCTAGCTTTGCAGAAATGCGAGAGACTCGTTATTCACGTTATCTCCCGACATTTTCTGCGTTTTGTTTGTGGCTTTTTTGTTGTTTTCCGAATGTTTATACGATATAAGAACGAACCAAAATACAAAACGCAAACTGCAAAGTGATTTCACATGGCTTCTGTAATCGTTTGACTTAACAAGTACTGCGTCTTGCGCCCAGACCAATTAATTTCATACTAAGTCAAAATGGGTACTCGACAAAATGGGCTGAGTACTCGGTGCATCCCTAGCTGTTAATAAGCGAAATATGAAATTCCATTCAAACACACTGGCGCATCAGCAAGTGGTTCATAGTCAAAACTTAAACTTACGATATAAACAAAAACATTTCTTCTTACCTAACGAATTATAATAATTGCCGCATAAAGATATTTGTTAACATATGTAAAACACTAGCTATTTGATGTAAAAATACAGCGGCTATCTGATGTAAGGTTATAAGAGTTACTCAGTCTACAATGAACAGCTTGAATCATTAGATAAAGGTAGGTGGTCACCTGATGCGAAAATAGTTGGTCAACGACATTTTCATTATCAATTTAAAAGTCAACTTGACCAGCTGACACCAAAGCCAAATAACAATTGAAGTGAGATAAGTGTATCTGTATACTGTTAAGATAAAACACAAGAATTTACTCGTCAAAGATTATGAATTAATACATATGCACAAAGAAATTGCCTAATCAAAAATATCTTTTTTACGCCCTTAAGTAGGTTGACTTGTATGTTTTGTTTTAGATAGTTTTGAAGATGCAACAGAATCATTAAATTTTCACCTATTTCAAGACGTCTGATTAACTTGAAAACTTACACAGGGGTCAAGGGTCGATGACTATACAATAATCTTGGAAAACAATTGGAAGTGAATTTATATTTATCAAATGTCAAATATAACATATCGCAAAAAAATCGAAGCTCTTGATTATAAGTACTTTTGCTGTCATTTTAAGACTAAAAATTTAGAAAATATATTATAGTTCAAAAAAACTAAAAAACACGTTGCAATAGCAAATTGAACTAAAAAGAAGAAAATAGTTTTCAAGTACAATCATGTATGAATAATTAATTTGGAATAAGGCAATATAAAAACAAAACACTAATTTATAGTAAAAATTAACTATATTTTAATAATAGTTACAATTTTGTAAATAGCAACAAAAAACAATTCCAACATTAAATATCAAGCACCCCACGGTTTTTTAATATAACCGAATTTTTTGTTAATGTCTTAATTTTTATATTTGACTTATTCCAAATTAATTGGTCATAATTGATTGTTGGTCCTTCTATACTTGAAAAATGTTTTCTACTTTTTAGTTTGATTTGCTATTAAAGCGTGTTTTTTTGTTTATTTAAACTATTATTTATTATAATTCATGTGTAGAGTTATTAATTTTTCTAACAAAAAAAAAAAAACGAAAATGAAGGCAACCACCTGAAGGCATCAGAGATATTCAATATTCAAAGTCACAAAGTTTCAAACCAAACAAAAATATTAGGCATCTATGGTTTTCAGATTATCAGATTCCAATTTCATTACACTGTTCAATATAATACAATACATATCAGGGTATGACAAATGCAATTAGTGATTGTTTATAAATAATTAGGAACCTTGAAGGGAAATGCATCAATTAGAACTCAATAGATTTATTTTGGTAAACAAACAATAATAATTGATGTCCCAACCATGACTAAGCTCAAAATTTAAGAAAATCATCATCAGATACCCAAATATTTATTTTAGGAGGTAGATGAGAGGCACAATACAGCCTATAAAATAAACATTTTTGGGTAGCCTCTTTATGATTCATCTCATTTAAGTATTCAAGTTGCAGCCTGTTAAATTTTATGGCACTATGATTTACTATGAAATGTATCATCAACAATATTACTCAAATGGCTGATTACTGTGCAGTATTGATTGATTTACCATCATGAATATACATAGTAAACAGACAAGCAGGAGTATAGAAATGTGTGTCCTGTAAAAACCTAAAGATCAATTTATTATAATAGCCGCTTTACACAATTCAATAAATTTAACGATTTTTTAACCTTGAAGAACTTGCACCAGGTGAACATAAAAATTGTTGTCAATTTCTTCACAACAAATTCATGAATAAATTGTCAGATTAGTGCTTGTTCTAATTTTCTGTCAATATTTTTCGTTACTTAACATGTTCACGTTTTGTGATTTGAGATTAAAATTATAATCCTCACAGTTTGGCTTAGCAGTTTGATTTTAATTTAGGGTTTGTTATTTCAAAAGGAGTATCCATCGTTTTGGCGTCTACTGTGATGAACAGCTGATCAGCAAGTGACATCTTTGTATTAGCCTGTAGTCTGGGCAACAATGAATCAGGTGTAAATCTAGTATAACTTGCTTGTAGCGTTCTTTTTTTTTGTATGTAAATGCACTTTTCTAAATAAAATGGTTGTTAGCAAGTATAAAATGAGTCTGTAGTGTGCAAAAAAACAAAACAAAACATGGCTACTTGTCGTTGACGGATCCATCAGAATTATGGGTCATTTGTAGATATGGGGAATTTAGAAATACTATTGACTTGAATAAATTTGATCATGTAATTTTGCTACCTGCCACCTTGGAGCAACTCAACAACTTTCTGAAATTGTCTCCGTGAATTTATTTGATTGTGAAAAGCGGCTATAAGATCAGAACACAAGTGATCTCAACTGCTAGGGAAATGCAATCTGTTGAACAATGCTCAAGATGTTCATAGCTTCATGTAAGCCACAAATCACCAAAATGCCCAAAACAACTGTATTTGAAATATTTGTTGAAGTGGGAAGTGGTAGCAGCTCCTATCAGAAGTACAAAAATTATATATTTCAGATATTTAACGTCTTATATCAATTTTTTTTTTTAATTAAATCTAATTTTTCCGGTTTTTTCATCAACATTTCAACCTTGTTTGGGACTAAATAAAGATCATCAACTAATTTCATAGGCTAAAGAATCAGGCAATCCAACAACCCATTAGACAGTTGTTGGCATTGCCTCATTTTTCTTATACACCTCTACTTGTGGATCACAAGACAAAATTGAATACCATTATAATAAAAAAACTGGAACACAATGTAAAAGACAACTTAGCTTATGACTAGAAGCACACTTTAAACATGTGTAAACCATAGACTTATTGACATGACAGGATAGCTTTACAAAACATATAACAACAAATGCTAAATTTTGATCTCAAGACCATCCAGAAATGAAATATACTAACTCACCTCAGATCCACTGCTGGAATTGGACTCATTGTCGCTCTCTGTCATGCTGGCCACCTCATACTCAATGACAAACTCGTCCCCATGTTCATCATCTGACCCCTCTGTCCCAGTGTCTGTTGTGTCCCTTACCACGTCTAAAATTGAACCAATTAAGGCACGGCGCTCACACTAAGCGCTACCTTTCAACTCATACCAGTTTCTCTGTCTTGTAGACTATAGACGCTCTCTGTGTCCTCTTCGGAAGCTTTGGAGCTTTCGCTCTCCAGGCGGAAGTGGTACCACCTCGGTCGTTTCAGGTCCATTTGTAGGCTTGACTTGTCGTCCTCGTGATGTCTCTTACGCCAGGATGCTGCAAACACAAAATAGGCAGATAGCCTATATCAGTTCAGTATTTTCACCCTACCCTAATTATTCTAGTAGAGAAGGGGGAGGATACTAATGATTTACAAGTTGCAACAAGTTTGGATATAATTACAAACTGTTCTTACAGGGTGTCCTAGGTTGTAATAGATGTAACAAATAACAGAAACATGAAAATAATTGATGACATTCATATGAGACAAGCACAAGTTTAAAAAATTTGAGATTTTCAAAATTTCCAGGGTATTTCTATATTCTCTTACTAAAAATGCATCAATCTGCAACATACTTAACTACTGATCACATCTATTCAATAGAGTTTATATTGCTGGGAGGCATTCTTTTATTTATATTTATAGATTATTCAGTTATTTGCAGTTTTTTTTGCAATACTACTGACAGGTTAGAAAATATAACATTTTTGTATAGATCACACTAGTAGTTTTTTTTGTAATGCTTGGTAATAGAATACCGTTCTATGGACATCTTCAAATTTCATTTCTTCCACAATTTTAGGAAAACTTCTTAGATTTTGTTATGAACCTTATCATTAATTAAATACTGTTCAAAGAAACTAGAGACCTCCAGCTAGATTGAATACTACAACCTCCTCATTACAGACTGTAGGAGTCCTTCAATAACAATAAGCTCATTTTTATCAAGTGACATTTGGAAACTTCAGTATATTTGCTCAAGAACTTTCGAGGAAAACATACGTGATTGTTTTAATGTTTGAAGAAATTAATTTACACCACTTCTGTGTGAAATGGGAGAACTGCTAATTGTAAATGAATATGAAATTACTCTGGTGGGGTTTGGTGATCTATAATGGAGCATCTCGATGAGCAATATTTATGGCCCAGCTATATATATGTCGGATATATTAGCTATATCTTGACTATATCTTGGCAATATTTTCTTCATCAGAAGGATTACAAAATTAGGCACTACAATATATTTGATCTAGTGGGATTATAATAATTTGGCAACCTGACAGCACTACATGAAAATAGGTAGGAAACTAGGGTTATCAATAATTTGAATGGCATATTTTTGCAGCAGGAGAACTCTTTCAGTTAGTGAACCACATTCCCAATTGAGAGTTATTAAAATTCCTTAGACAGGAAGGTGTTTTCAAATCATGCAATTGACAGTCTTCATCTGTCAAAATGTTGCCAAGCTAAGTTCATGTGGCAATGAATGAATTGCTGGAGATTTTTACATCATTTGTGTGTGGCAGATGACAAATTAAGGGATTCCTTGAAAATACTTACTTTTTCATTTATTTACAGTTTTCCATCACATAAAAAAAACACCCCTGCATTATTGACCACCTTTTCTCAAAACCTGAAAATTTGCTGAAATGTTTGACATTTTCATGTGACAAATCTGAAATGCAAGACTCGAGAAAACTCCCCAGGCTAGAAAAATATTACCAATTCTGATGCACAATTAAGCATTGACTCAACCTTTGCTTCCTATATGGATGAAGTCATTTGAACACTTTATACAGAATTAGGAGCTTTAGACATACTATTTGCTAATAAAGGCTGATATTTTTTAGAATGATGAATACCCTGGATCTTCATAATTAGTACTAATATAGTCCAAAAATTACCTCCTGAAATTTTGCCCCATGTGTATCAAATGTACCTATATATTTATGAAATTATGAAAAAAGTTGTTCTAATTGGCCATATGTACTGCAGGAGGTTTGGCTACCTTCCCATTTCCAGAAGTAGATGGACTACGTCCCAAAATCAACAAAAGAAATCTACCAGGAATTGTTATTTCATGCTGGAATGAAAGTTCCAATACAATTCTTAATAGAAATAGGATAGAGCATCTAAATGAAGCATTCATCTATTTTATGAACCAAATTGACTTTGAATGAGGCTACTACAAAATTATGTGCATTATTCTATTCCAAAAGGGTCTAAAATTCCACTCCTATTTATCATCCAACACTCGTAAAATATAATAGTAAAAATGGGTGGTCGTATACGGCACAAAAACTTGTAAGATCAAATGATACCACACTTTAAATATATTTTGAATGATAAATTAGAGCGAATATTCATCGAAAATTATAGAAAAAAGTGCAGTATCAACACCAACTACGATTGTGTTATCTTCATTCCACTAACATGTGGTGCTAAAGCATCTTGCAAAAGCACATCAACGGTTGAAAATCACATTTGGAAATTGTTGAATGCTATTCCATTGCTGGTGGAAACTTGATTATCACCTTATTTAGATCAAATAACCTCGATGTAACCTTTTCCGAGTTCTGAACTCAACACATGATAAGCCCAAGGGTGTGTAGTGGGCATGCCTGGCGAGTTACCGTTTGAAAAACTTGTTTATAGAAAAATGCCGCCATAAAAAACTTCACTACGATTGTCAGAAGCTATAAAATTAGTGAAAACAACTTACCGGAACTAGTTTCTACTGTAGTGGTCATGTTGACTAGAAATTGGAAATTATAAAACGTGGTAAATAAATACCAGAAAACGGGCACGCACGAACTTGCTTTGATTGCTTCCACGAAAACAAGTATAATATAAAGTACAAAGCTTTCTGGGAGCAGCGTTGCCAAGTTCCTTCGATTTTTTACTTCAAGAGAATGTTATGTCAGGGAAAAACTAATGCACCAAGAATCAAGAATAATTCACCAAGAAGAATGCGACTAAATTTTATGATATTTCACATTTCTCAGTGTGATCCGTGATAATATATGTTGAGATGCTCAAGATTTATTTATTGTTTCTTCTAACGCCCCCCCCCCTCATTCCAGTATATATTTAGGTATAACTGGGTACAAATCTGCCGACTCGGCAACAGTGAGCCGGAAACTCCAAAAATGGTGGGGATGATTCACTTGCACATGCGCTCATGCACCATACGTCCGAAAATTTAGGTTAGTGATGAGTAAAAAAAATTATACACTGAATATCACAGCTAATTCAATCATTTTTCATATCAAAGTTGTCTATATATTTTCGGAATTGGAAATCTGTCACTCTAAAAAATCCCTTTTTCCCATGTTCTCACTGTATCAATATAAGGATTAAATCAACTATGCATATAATACTATAACTTATTATTGCCTCAATTCATAATGATATATTTGTAGAGGTATCACTTTTTTTAATGAACTTCTACATTTTTTACCTTTTTTCGTTCAAATTTATATTCAATAAAATCTACTGTCAATAATTGTCATCGTGCTTGAAAAATGCCGCCGTGGTGGCCGAAATGTCAAGCAATAAAGAGAAATTAAAATATGTATATCTGGATTGAGCCAGCTAGACAGTGGGGTCCTAGATACTATTGAACTTTAATTTGCGAATTTCAGCTCAGGAGTAAGAATAATCGTTGTGAATAAAGAATTTACTCATGCCAGGGTCAAATCTACTTTATTTGCAGTATATTACTTTTAAGGGGTATTGAAATGATTTATATGGTTATTCGGCAATAAAAAAGTAGATTCTCCATCACTATTAATCACTAGTCCGAGAACCTTTTTATGCTGACACTGACATTTCTATTTGTCATGTAATTGTCAATTGAATCAAGTCAAGTGGTTGTGGTTTCATTCATACATTTGTTGTTTCTGATCCTGTGGCGTTGTACAAATCCATAAAGCCATATTTTCTTAAGATTTTTGCCAATTTAAATTGTTAAATAACGTATGTTCTGCTGCAGTGCTTTGTAATTACTATGCCGTTAGCAAACTCCGTGGAACCATGGCAAATTCAACATGCCGAAACAGAGGTAAGTGCTCAAGTTGAACGGTCCTAGTTTTCTCTATAGATCTGCAACTTTCTATCGTAAAAAACTTACCCACTTTTTATTTTCGTATTTATCTGTGTGAGGCACGCGTAGCTAAGGTCATAACCTTATTCTGTTCATTTTGCAGCTTTGGGAGTATCCAGGCCCTTAAGAATAGTTTCTGTACGTAAATCTGTCACATTTTTATTTACAAATACATATTGTCGCAGCACGATAAAGTACACTGTATATTTCTGATTTGTTGCATGTTTTTCGCGAAACACTTAGAGTATTAAGGGTGTTACAGACGTGCATATAATCGCCATCGCAATTTTAGGTAAGCTATAACATGAGAAACGCGCACAGTGTATCAAATTCTATCATACTGATTGATTCACATGTTATAGTCGATTTATGACTTGGTATTCCCCAGATCAAACTGAACAAGGATTTCAATTCTTGTGAATCCTGGTACCATTGACTCCTAGATACCTTAGAGCAATACCTTGCTTCAGTAATACCATGAGGCAGAGTTCTGATCCTCCAGATATCACTTGCCTCCCTTACTCCTTCAATACATTTCAATTATTGCATTAAAAGTTTTGGTAATGGCTTGTAATACATTATCTGACTGATTTGAATAGTTCATGCAACATATTTATTCTTACATGTGTAACCTTTGTTATTAACATTCCATTTGAATCTCATTTCAACTAGCATCTTATGTTTGTACTTATCCATGTTTTGTTTAGTGACCATATGCACTAGGCCACATTTTTGCCAAAGTTCTTAAACAGGTTAGATCTGTCTGTATTGAAAGTGGATTTTTTTCTATTGTATTATTACCTGCTTTGTCAGTGTGTCATTTTCAACTTGTGGCAGCTATTAGCAGGTTTGTTGTGGTTGTTACTGGTGACCCCAATTTTAGATAATACTTGTTTAAATGATCATATTGTCACATTTTTTGATTATTTATTAATATCATTCAAGTAGGAGTACTTATGTCAAATGATCTGTTGCACCTCTGTTTGACCCTTAATAATCTTTCACCTTGATTAATAAACATTATATATACAAAGTACTCCAGATACTGGCCTGTACAACATGTAAATTGAAAATCAAATATGATTAAATACCTCTACATGTTTGTTATCATCTTATATATCAATTAGGATTCGTCAGTTATTCAGGTTATACCATGACACATTTAAAAAACTCGGCGGCCATTGTACTTTATCGATTCCACGAGTTTCATTGTTCAATTACTCCAGTTCCTTGCACAAAAGAATTTTGTTCCATTGAATATGGCATGCAATCTATGGTCTCACACTTCAGCTTTGAATATCTATTCATACTGTAGACAAAGCAGCAGCAACAGTCTCTGTGAGAAGAGTTTCATGCTACCATAAACTAGAAATGTTGCTACATAGTCATTATCCTCTATTGTTACTTTTGATGGATTTTTTCAATTCTTTTAATTTAGAAAAGATGTTTTCATAATGTCATTTTTGTGTTTTAGTTACACGATTTTCGTGAACGTTTCCCAATACTTTTATGTAGGCCTTTGACTTTGACATATCTAGTCACCTTCCAAAACATAATTACCAGTATGGCAAACAAATACACTTGCAAGGCTTTTAGCAGGATGTTTTACTTCGATTTCTGGAATATTTGTACTCCATTACCACTTATAACACATACCACACAAAATTAAAACTTCAGATGTGTAACATTTTCTGGGCCATACTTGACATATTACAAACAACCTGCATAGCTTACTACCTCACTTACTTTTGTGAAAAATATTAGTATTCTAATGTAAACAAGAAAATAGTTACAACTCAAAAATAAAACATGTTACTTTGATATTTGTGCAGTTGATGCTAATTAGACAATTTTTCACTTAACACTATGCATTACTCTGCTTTGTATAAGTTTAGTGTATTCAAATGCCCTAATCTAACCCTTTCAAGTTCTACTTTTATGCAATTCAGCCTTAAACATCATGGTGCTCATGCATGCCTCCAAGTTTTCAGCAGTATATGATTTTTGCAACTAATGTTAAGTGCTTACATAAAGTGGTCTAGCACTACAGTGCTTTTATGTTGATTAGCTTTAGCCATGGTATAGCTTTGACATTTTGCCACATTTGATAAACACATCAAATCTGACAGCAAAGTGAAAACTGCTGTCAAACTGATGAAGCTATCACATGGCTACTCCTGTTCAGCATAAAAGTGCTGCATTGCTAGACTGCTCTATGTTAGCTCAATGCCCCCAACATTTACAAGCGAAACAAACACTTATGTTTCTGAAAAATAAAAAAATAACCGAAATTAAAGACTAGGCTCAAGACAAGTGTTGGTCATCTTCATTAATACACATGTCTCTTTCACTCTACCTCCTTGGTCTTCTCTTACTCTTATACAAAGATTGATGTTAGGCAGAGACTGAAGATCAATAAGCGATAATGGGGCAATTCACATCATTTCCCTTAGAAGGTTGGAAAACATACAATAGTCGACAGTTTTTCAGGTTCTTTGATTATGCTCTTAATCATTTTGATGGCACTCACTATACAGGCTTTTAATAAATTCATGAAATAGCAGGCAAATATCCCTTAGGAAGCTGTATGACATTACAACAGACCTCAATCTGTATGATCTACCTATACATGAGTAGGTGATAAGTTTCTAATCACAAGAATATAAAAATCACTGAAATATTTTGGTATCGCCGGGCGCGAAGGGAATAGGGGGGAAACTGAATCGATCACCGCGCACGCGTTGCACAAAATGGGAAACATCATCTGACTGAGAGCGAAATATATATAATTATGGGAAATCTTTTGTCATGTGGGGTCAATTAAAGGGTGGCAAAAATGCGAATATTTTGCTGTCATAGATCCCTTGCAGGGAAGTCCTGAGTTGTATAGAAATTTGAAGACTTTTGAAAGAAATATTAATTCCTACTTCTAGACACAAAATTCAGTCTTTCGTGTAATTGGTTGTGCCAATCGTTGTTGTACGCGGCTGTGATTTATTGCAAGATGAGGTGGCTTATTATAACTTCATGCCTACCTTCATTAACTAATCGTCTTTTTGGTTTGATTGCACAGTGCAACTGAGTGATAATTTTTTTGACCTCAAAGTGAGTACATGGGAGTGGAATAAAGTGTTCCCATTCTTGTCTACATATCTTTACCACAAGTATGTATGTCAGCAACTGCCATGTCTGTTTAAGTAGTTTTACGAATTTTGGCTCCAAATAGTATTTTTGTATGGTGCTTAAATGGGAAACTATGCATAAGCGCGTATTACGTACGCTTCTGTTACTATCTCAAATTGTTCATCCATGTGTCAAGCGCATCATAATCTATTCATTCCAAAACATTCTCGGACGTATAATTTGGGATACTTAAACATAGAGAAGAATAATATCGCAATCATTATCATATCTATATTATGATGACATCTATCATTTTGATAATATGGAAGCCTTCCATACTCAGTCCGGCTTCAAGTGGTAGCGATTTTTTTTGCAATTTGCCGCTCTATGGGGAGAAGCCGCCACATATGGCTGGTTTTTTGAAAATGCTAACTGTCCGTACCAAAGTGAATTCAAATCTCATTTATGCCGAGTGAAATCGAACTTTAGCGCGCGATGCTTAAGATCACGCGCCCCTATTGGCCATCAGGCCATAAATGCCTGGGCAGGTACCGACAAGCGAATAAACGACGATCTAGTGTTCATGTTTATTTTGAGTCGGAGTAAGTGACATTTGAATAAACTTTAGACTAGACTATATCCCATAGTTTTCCGGTCAGTGCAGAAGCGATATTTGTAATACTTTGACCTGTATTAAGTTTTTTGGTGTGTAGTTGCTCTATAATATGGACGTATCTACATTTTGAGCCACGTTTCTTACAACACTATAATGCTGTGTGGTGCCTGCAGACTAACCTTTTGCCTCAGTTTTTTGTATAGTATACTTGCCTATCATCAGTGTTCCTTATTTTCATGACTACTTTCTTGACTAGAGTGAATAAAAACGTGTATATTTATGATTCAGTCTCAGTCCGGCGATCCTGATGAAGCTGCTACAGGGGAAGAACATGGGCCACATGAGGGAGAACATGAGATCGAATTGGGAGAGGTAAGTTCAACAGTTTGGGCATATATGTTACTGGCGTTTACAATGTTTTACTGCTTGCCAAACCATACATCCTGCTTCAGACATCTTTAACACTATGATACCGATATGCCAGACATCCCTATTTGAGATAGTTGTATTACGTAGGTTCAAATATGACGTATTTATGTTCGACCCCTCAATAGCAGTATTTATACGGGGGAGGTTTCAATTGATTGAATATATGTAACATAATATCTGAAACAGATTTGGCGTATTGCCTGTATTCAGTGTCTCGGTGTAACATCAAATGACTGACTTTTGTGATGATTAGTTTAATTCATCTCAGTGTAGGCAATTTACATTTATTCATTTTTAGTCTTGACTATCGACTTTTTATTGATTTACTTCGATGATCTTTCACACAAACTATTATTCCAGGTGGCCAGAGATGGTCATGATAAGGCAGATCCCTCTCAATTTGAACTGCTCAAGGTACTTGGAGAAGGGTCATTTGGAAAAGTATTTCTTGTCCGCAAAGTTGTTGGTGCGGACGCGGGCACTCTGTATGCCATGAAAGTACTGAAGAAAGCCACCCTGAGGGTGAGAGACAGATACAGAACCAAGACTGAAAGGAACATTCTAGTAGATGTAGAACACCCGTTCATTGTGAAGTTGCATTATGCCTTTCAAACTGCTGGAAAGCTGTACCTTATTCTGGATTTTTTGAGGGGAGGTGATTTGTTTTCCAGGCTAAGCAAAGAGGTGAGAATATCAGTTCTTTTATTGGTTAATTTTGGTATGAGTCAAAATATTTTGATCCTAATGTTTCAAACATCATCCATTTTTGTGCATGCATTTTAACTCCAAAAATTCGATAGATTGGTGACCCTTACAACATTAATTATACGAGAGCGGTCCGATAAGCCTACAAAAGAAAAACGATCATTTTGGAAAAGTGGCGACTTATTACTCAACATAGTCTCTTTTTAGCTCAATACGCTTGACTCAGCGATGCTCCAACTTCTTTAACCCGTCTGAAAAATACGTTTTTTGGAGGTCTGCAAAATAGGCCTCCGGGGCGGCGGTAACCTCCTCATTTGACTCAAATTTCTACCCGGCGAGTGACTTTTTCAAGTTTGGAAGCAAAAACAAGTCGCTCGGGGCCAAATCTGGAGATTAGGGTAGATAGGGTAGCAGTTCGTAGCCTAATTCGTCCAATTTGGCGGTGGCGTCGAGGTGTTGAATCGGCCCAATAATTCGTTTTGCCCTTTTCCAGGTACTCGATATAGGTCACACCTCGTGAATCTCAGAAAACGGTGGCCATCACCTTTCCAGCCGATAGGACAGTCTTGCCTTCTTCGGAAAACGTTCGCCGGGTGAAGTCCAGTGTTTCGACTGTTCCTTGGTCTCTGGTGTGTACCAGTGGATCTATGTTTCGTCGACGCTTACGAAACGACGCTCATTCGAATTCGGTTAAATAGCGTCAAACACTGCTGTAAAGTGGTCTCTTGGTTGCGCTTGTTGTCCGCAGTGATCAAACGCGAGACCCATTGCGCAGCTTTCTCATGCCCAATATTTCATGCAGGATATGACCCATCTTTTGAGATGCCTACTGTCTTAGCTATCTCGCGCACCTTCAGTCGGCGGTCCGCCAATACGAGACCGTGGATTTTTGTCACGCTATCCTCCGTGGTAGGCGTGCTCGAGGCACTTGGGCGTGGCTCAGCAAAAACCGACGTGCGACCACGTTGAAACTCGTTAAACCAATATTTGACGGTCGTCATCGAAGAAGAAGAGTCACCCGTACACAGCATCCAAGCGCTTTTTGATTTCGCTGCGCGATTTCTCTTTCAAAAACGAGGATTGAATTACCCACCGATATTCTTCTTTTTCCATTTTTCTAAAATCACCCACACGCCCGCTTCCTCACGCGGTGAAAACAAAAGTACGATTTCGATCCTTCTGAAATTTTGGCAGTAGCCGCCTACGAGAATGTACGATAGTAAATTTCTCTTGCGATAGAGACGCCATCGGGCGGTAAGGATAAGTACTTATCGAACCGCTCTCGTAAAAGCAACCTACACCAGTTAAATGTTTTCATTGTTAGCCCTTTTAGCTTTAGTTTGCTCCATATTTCCTTTTTCACGAGCATCCATTACATTTTGACGTCTACTGTGGTGAACATCTGATCAGCAAGTGACATCCTTGTATTAAAGCCTGTAGTGTTGACAATAATAAATCGTGTGTGAATCGGGGCAACACTAAGAACCGTATTCAGAATTGTTTATACCAGAAATAGACAAAAACTGTTTGTCTTATTTTATTCCTGTCTGATTTGAAATATTGGCATCATTGGTAGCGATTTTGCGTGTAGCATTTTTTTGGTGTGCAAATGAACTTTTATAAATAGCATACAAAAGGCCACAACAGAATACGATTCTGTCTATAGATCTAGAACTGACAGAATGGTGTCACCCTTATTGATATGAAGTATTTTGAAATGTTACATGTTTCGTATAATGGATACTCATGATAGATACTCTATCCGTCATTTTCCAGGTTATGTTTACTGAAGAGGACGTAAAGTTCTATCTTGCTGAGCTGGCATTAGCACTGGACCATTTGCATAGTCTCGGAATAATTTACAGAGATTTGAAGCCTGAGAACGTTCTTCTAGACGTTGATGGCCACATAGCTCTCACCGACTTTGGTTTGGCTAAGTTGCCATTGGAAGAAGGAAAGGCCTACAGTTTTTGTGGCACAGTAAGTATACGGATTTGCAGAGTAATATCGTCCGGTCGCTTAAGTTGGGCTGATCATTAATTTAAATATTTTTGTTGTACCAGATATGATCAAAAGTTGAGTGGAACTTAGATCGATAGTTGGGCTGAGTGGAAGGTTTCCATTGCTTAAAGTTGATAAAAATCATGATTTTTTTCGTTTCTGATAGAATTTTTTGATTAAAAGGAATTAAACAAATCATGCCACATGACAGTGGACGGACAAAAGTATCATGTTTAGTTTATTCAATGCTAAGCATACCATATCTACTTTACAGCCGGAATCGTCAGTCAACCAGCGGTCACATGCTGACTGGGCTATTAAACGCGAACTAAGTATCTTTACACTTCCAACAAATAGCTGCTATGTACTCTCCGCAGTGGTCTATTTTGGTGATAGATGGCGCTTTTGGCTGTCTTATAGCGATATAGTCGAGAGACCAAGCCTAAACCATGCTAATGAGTAGTCAAAAATCATAAAACAGCTGTCCAATGTTGGCTGTCTTTTGGTTTGACGGACGGAACAAAAATGTGGAAAATTTTTATAGTCATATAACTGAGTCAACCAAGTTTGTGTTGTAGTTGCAGACCCAATTCCGTTGAAAAGTTACTATAGATACACCGTTATCAGATATACAGGGTGATTCACAAGTCGCGACCAAATATCAAACAGCATACACAGGAACGCATTTTAAGGGGGTCTTCTATGTAACATTTTTTCCTCAAGGGCTTCATTAAAAATATACGGGGCATTGTAGTTTAAACATTTAATCATTCTTTTTAATATCTTCAAAACGGTCAACTGGAATAAATTAAAATTTGGTATGTGGATTTACCTAAGTATTGTCCACATTAAAAAATCTTAACTTAAAATTAACGTGCACCAGTGGCGGAGATACAGGGGATTAGTGGCATAATTTTTCCAAATAAAAATAGTACGCCACTGTTTTTTTTTTCGAAACGCGCAATTTTTCGAATTTTACCTTCAATTTGCTACAAATAATTACTCTTGTGTTTTTTTGCTAGAGTGCATTGTTTTCGTTAAAATAAAAAACAAATTCGATACTAATCAAAGCTGTATTTCAATAAATGTTCAAAAGGACCACCATTCTGCAAAATTTGTTGTCGCTTGAAGTTGATGAAACGCATTATCTATTCATTCTTGTAGCCGAGCAACAGTATTAATTTGTCCAGCATACAATAGTTGTTTAAAAGCGCCCCACAAAAATAAGGGGTTCAAATCAGGAGACCTCGCAGGCTAATGTACGGGTCCGTTTCTGCCAATCCATCGTTGTCTAAAATGATTATTTAATCATGCGGTTATGTCATGACGAACATGCGATGGCGCACCGTCGTGCTGATACGAGTACCACATTCATACTCTCGTTGCTAACGGAACATCATCTAACACATTTTCTATGTAATTCTCTAGAAAAGCTAAGTATGAGTTTGCGTTTAAACGTTGTCGCAATACGTGCCACAGTTGGCCATTTAAAATGCCGAACCAGACATTTCTAGAAAATTTGTGTTGAAACGAGTGGATTCTTACAGAACGGGGATTATCTAACGACCGAATATGTTCATTATGAGTATTAAAGGTTTCACTCCTCGTAAAAAGCGATTCATCTGACCACAAAACCAAATTCATAAAATCTGCATTTTGATTATGCATTTGTTTGATGTAAAACTTTATGATTTAAAATTCTCCAAGCAAAACTTTGGTAACATGGAACTGGGCTGCAATCCGCCCAGTGCTTGCACTAGGATCATCCAACGCCAAATTAATCACTTCCAGTTACTCTTGAACAGTATGCCGGACACCGTGGCCTCTTAACTCCGGGAGGTTTGTGGAACTGGGCTGCAATCCGCCCAGTGCTTGCACTAGGATCATCCAACGCCAAATTAATCACTCCCAGTTACCCTTGAACAGTATGCCCGACACCGTGGCCTCTAACTCCGGGAGGTTTGTCAATTCCGTATTGCCGAAGTTTTGGAAATGGATGCGTGAAAACCTTTGCGGTAGGTTGGCGCTAAATCATTTCTAATTCAGAACCCGTACACAAAAATAAAATCAACATACTCATCATTGCTGAATTCCATTTCACAACAGTCAAAAATGGAAAAACGGAACTTTTGTCTTGACTTTCAAAAAAAAAATTAATCGTAACGATAACAACCGTATAACACATAACTCTAAGTATCTCCCAAGAAAAGTCAAATCGGTATCAAGGCCTCCTATTTTATTTTGAAACTAACTGGATGATCTAATTTGTTTTATTTTTATTTTTACGAAAACAGTGCACTAGGAAAAAACGCAAGAGTAATTATTTGTGCCAAATTGAAGGTAAAATTCGAAAAAAAAAACTGTAGCATACTATTTTTATTTGGAACAATAATCCAACTAGTCCCCTGTATCTCCGCCGCTAGTGAACGTTAATTTTAAACTTCTGAATGTGGTCAATACTTAGGTAAATCCACACATCAAATTTTAGTTAATTCCAGTTGATGATTGTGAAAAAAATGTTTTTTATTTTTAAACTTCAACTTCATATTTTTAATGAAGCCCTCGAGGAAAAAATGTTACATGGAAAACCCCATTTAAAATGCGGTCTTGTCTATGATGTTTAATTTTTGGTCACTTGTGAATCAGTCTGTATAATTATCTCAGCTGTTTTCACCAAACTGGAGTAGTGCAATGGAAACTAGATTTGAGGATGATCTTAAACTATGGATAACCTTTGCTGAGGTGTATATTTGAGAGAGGCGGTACATTTGCGCATTAGTAAGTTAGATGATAAAAAGTTCACGGGTAACTTAGCTGATGTTTTTGTTAGAAATCATGCAAGTGATTTTAATTATTTCTTACAGGTCGAGTATATGGCCCCAGAAGTCGTAAACAGGAAAGGACACACCTATGCTGCAGATTGGTGGTCTTTTGGGGTGCTTATGTACGAGATGCTAACTGGCGGTCTGCCTTTCCAGGGCCCTAACAGAAAGGAGACAATGACACAAATACTCAAAGCAAAGCTGCCTATGCCCTCTAATTTAAGTCCAGAAGCTCAAAGTTTGTTGAGGGTACTGTTTAAACGGAATCCTGCCAATAGATTGGGTACGTCAAAAATATTATCTTCAGATGGCATTTGTTTTTAACGCTAAAACGCTTAACCTAACATGAAGAGAATGTCGGCAATTGTTTTTGCCCTGTTTACTACTTAAATTGAATTATTTTAAGGTGCTGGACCTGGAGGAATAGAAGACCTCAAAAAGCACGAATTCTTCGCCACAATAGATTTTGATGCCCTTCTTGCCAAAAAAGTGAGGCCTCCATTTCAACCAGTGGTATGCGGCCCCGAGGATGCGTATTTTGATTCTGAATTTACCAGTAAAACGCCAAGAGATTCACCTGGAGTACCTGCTAGTGCCAATGCACACGAATTGTTTAGAGGGTGAGCCTGATAAGTACAATAACTTCCATTTCCAGACAAGAGAAGAAGCTTCATATCTATGATTGGAAAGCAGATAAACTCTTCCTGTTGGAAGTAATAACACCATATTGAACTTTTATATTTCTTTTGCAGATTTAGTTTTATAGCACCATGTCTACTAGAAAACGGAAATGTACAAATTAGGAGTGAAACGACACCTATGAATTCAGTAAGGACCAGCGATAGAAATTTCTTTGATGATTATACCCTGTTAGATATCATAGGTACAGGGAGTTATAGTGTATGTAGGCTAGCCAAGCACAAAGCTACAGCGCAACAGTATGCTGTCAAAGTAAGAACTCATTTATTTGTTTATCAATTTACTATACACCATGACGAATCTTTATCAATAAATGTCTGTAATGTATGGAGTTCCACACGGAACAATACTTGCGCCCCTTCTTTTTAATATATACAGGGTGACTTCGAAGTTGAGTCATTTATTTTAACAGTGTGTAGATCTGATCAAAAGAAATGTTTTTTTCCTTTACCATTTTTCTGGTAAAATTAAAGTAACAAAGTTATAGCCCTTTGGAAGTTTGAGTACCGCCCTGTCTCAATAATATCATGTGTTCGTGTTTGGCAACAACGGTTCATCGCATCGGAAACAAAAAAGCGAAAGAATTTGGAACGATGTTTTTACGATTACAATTCAGTTCAGTTATACATACAGTCAGTTTCAGTCGCGTGTGAATAGTGTCTGTTGCGTGGCTCAAACGAAATAAAAAATGGCACATGTTTATGCGGATCGGTTTCCCAATCGAGTGCAACCAACCCCTCGTGCCTTTGTTAATGTAGTACAACGGGCTCGTGAATCAGGTGACTTAAGACCTCACAGGGGACCTCACGATCAAATACAGGTCCGCACTGAAATACTTGTCGGGAGGATACTTTATAAAACAAGGTAAAATTTTTTTTTAATTTTTTTTTTATTTTTACACACATATTTTGGTTTATCTTCCTTCTACAATCATTATCTGAAAATTAACCCTGTATATATATATATATCAACGACTTATATAATCTACCAACAAAAAGTGAAAAAGTAGGATTTGCAGATTACACCACTATCATCCATAAAGCCAGAAGTTGCACAAAATTAAAAAAAGAAATTGAAAAAGATTTAGTACAGATAACAGACTGGTTTGATAATCAATTATTAACTATTAATTATAAAAAACGCTACTTTATTCCCTTCACTTATTACATAAATAAATTACCGCTATATAATCAGCTAAATATAAAGAAAACAAATCTCCAAAATGAATATACAGAGTGTAAACGGTAGTCATTATTGAAATGGGTAATAGCGGAGGTAAAAAAAGTCAAAAAGTTCATATGACCCATGGTCCAAAAGTCAATAGATTTTTGTCTAAATAGCTTTATGTTTACAACTTCAAGTGCTTTATATCGACCACAATCTTACTAATTTTTATAATCTAAACGTTTTTAAATTGGGTAATTAACAAATAAATGGCATTAAGTTTTTTTAAGTTAAGCCGAAATTTGTAGTCAGTAAGTAGGTTTCATTAAATTAAATATTTAAAACACACATGACAACAGCGCGTCGGTCATTCATCACTCTTATCGAACCGGCAATCGATCGCAAACGGTAACAGTGGTTAGTTATTTTTCGCGTACGTCGTCGTAAAATGTTCTCGAATCAAGAGTTCGCCGACATGTTGTTAGTTTACGGTGAAGCTCGTCAGAATTCAAATCTTGCAGCTCAAATTTATCGCGACAGATTTCGCCAACGGGTACACCCAGACAGAAGGACATTTGTGCAAGTGTACCAAAGACTTCGACATACAGGAAGTGTTCAGCCCACTAATATTCGCACTCGTGAAAGACAGGTTAGTGTAGAGCAGGAGGAATAAATTTCAAATATCGTGGAAATCAATGCAGATATCAGCACTCGGGAATTAGGCCGCCGCGTAGGACTATCGCTTACCATAGTCCATAGAATCCTACGGGAAAATTTGCTTTATCCCTACCATGTACAACTAGTGCAGGCCTTGTTATCAGAAGACTAACATTCTGTCAGTGGATTTTGCACAAAAACATTGAAAATCCGGATTTTTTTAAAAACATTCTAGCGACAGACGAATGTACTTTTACGCGGGATATTAAATTTCCATAATACTCTCACGTGGGCCCAAGAAAATCCTCATAGCATTCGTGGAGGTCATTTCCAACAACGTTTTAAAATAAATATTTGGGCGAGTATTCTTGACGATCAGGTAATTGGCGCCTTCGAGTTACCCCCAAAGTTGTCAGGAGAAGGATACTTTAGCTTTATAGCCAATAACCTACCAGAACTTTTGGAACAGACCTTAGACAGCATGCCATTACACCGGAGGTTTCTTCATGACGGGGCACCACCACACATTTTTAGAGGCGTCATTCAGTATTTGAATGAACATTATCCAAATCGCGGGATCAGTCGAAATGCTCCTGATCCTCGAAAATGGCCAGCAAGATCTCCTGACCTCAATCCGATGGATTTCTGATATTGGGGAGAACCTAAAGGGATGGCTTATGGGGCTTGTCCAATAACAACTGAAGCATAACTTCGCGAAAAAAATTTAATGCGGCTGAAATAATAAATGGACAACTTCGAGGACCTAGAGTAAGAAGAAACTGGGTTCGTCGTAATGAAGCTTGTGTGGAAAGTGGAGGACGACATTTTGAACACCTTCTTTAAATACAAAAAAGAGCAATGTGGGTTGTAAAAAGAAAAACAATGTATGTAACAAAATTGTGTTCCCTATTTATAAGTGTATTTTTTTAATACGTTCAATAAACTTTCACACACCAGGTGAAGCGCCGAGACAATTAGTGGTAAGTCCGTTTTTATAATTGTTTGCATTTTACGAGTACATTATCAAATAACGGAACAATACCTAAGAGCCAAAAATAACAAACTCCATCTTTATTTACACTGCGATCCGTCGTAATTTTCGTCTGGCATTGCGGCGTTGTCAGATTTTATTTTACTTTAAAGTCGCTTTTCTCTAAAAAATGCCGTTTTGACCCCCATGTTATATGAAACCTTTTGCTTCTTTTAACCCCCTCTACCACCCATTTAAATAATGACTATCAGAACGTTTACACCCTGTATATCTCGTAAACAAAATCATAAATATTTCGTAATTATTTTAGACTGTCATCTTCATTGGGATAAACGTATCCAATACATTAAGAAGAAACTTAGATTTCTATTACATAAATTCAGATACTACAGACAAATTTTCAATGCAACTCATTTAAAAATTTTATATCAAACATTAGCTGAATGCCACATAACCTATGGAATTTTTATCTGGGGATCCACGAATCATAACCGCCTAAATTATTTACAAGTAATACAAAAACTATTCATAAAAAGAATTCATAAAACCTTTACTATACCTGTCCAAATCACTGTTTATAGAATCAAAAATTATTTAGATATAAGGTTATACTAGAATTCCATAAAAACAAACATTCGACCATTTATAAAAATTACCAATATGATACTAGAAATAAAAATAAACAAATAATTATTGCAACACCAAAAAAAAGAAATAATGTTGAAATCCTTTATATTTTTAGGTCCAAAACTATATCATAACTTACCAAAATATATTAAAAAAACAGAATATCATTTTTAAAAATAGACGGATACGAGTGGCTTTTGAAAACTGATATAAACATTATGCGATTTATGAAAAAAACATATCTTTTATTCATTGTCAGTCTACGATCCAAAATTAATGAATATATTACACTTATATTATATAGATTTTTTTAGTTACTTATATTATGTATGTTGTGCTAGCATGATATCCACATACAAGGATATTTTCCTTTTGTGGCATATACAACGTGTAATTGATGTGAATAGATCATTATTATAACCATATTTTATAGTCTTCATAGCTAAGCACTCCAAAAGTGTTATGTAATGCTTACAGCCTTTTTGCGGCACCAGATACACTTAAAACTTAAGTGGAAGTTAAATAGACAGTTGAGCTAAATCTGTAGTACAACGTAATATTTTGAGAGTTATGGCAATAGAACAAAGCTCCAAAGATTTAGTATCATCCGAAAATGTTTGTTGACATTGAAGCTAATTGACGAATTCATGGAAATCTTTCATAATTCACAATATATAATAATACTCATTGTCCTGTAGAAATTATAAACTTGTAAAATTGAGAGAGGTGGTGCAACAGGGCATAGTGGCATTCTTCCTTTCTTGTGTCAGTTGGTTTGTAATTGATACTCCAGCCGTTACAAAAATTTTTGTAACACTGCTCGTACATTTCTTGTACTTATGTACTTGTATTTATTCCAGGTTATAGACAAATCATTATGCGACTGTAGGGAAGAAGTAGAAATACTGATGAGGTATGGTAAACATCCAGGCATAGTATCGTTGAAGGCTGTTTATGAAGAAAATAACAAAGTTTATTTGGTTCTTCAGTTGTTGAGAGGTGGAGACTTATTAGAATATATGACAAAGGTAGAAAAATAAAATAACATTTTTCGTTAATGAATAGAGTTTTTAGTGATCTTGTTTTGCTGCTTCGTTGTGATCTTTCTTATTTTGATTTTGCACGGTTGCGAGAAAGTTCTCCATTATCTTAATACGAAAATAGTTAGTTATGGAGAATGGGGGATAGCTTATTTCGTAAGGTTATATTTTTTTATTCATTTCTGTTGCCAGAATTTGTAAAACTGGATAAGTTCAATCAAAACAATTTCAAGCTTCATATTGCTGAAAATATAACAGAAATTATTCACATATAACAAAAGGCAAAGAAATATGCAGTGCTTTAAATGAATTGACCTGGTTTATATTATACAGTGTGAGTTTTTAGTGTAGGCTTGGTCGATAACTCTGTTATTATGCATGGTACCTAATAACATTTTATAAAAAAAATTTAGCTGTCAATATGCTACCGATTTGGATAATATTTTTATTTTTACAGGGTGATTCATAATTGCATGGTGACCGAAACGTACATCTTTTGCAAGACCTACATATTATTACAGATTATATTGTCATGTTGTTGAGATATTGGTCAATCTATCGAAAAAAAACTCATCTTTGACAACTCGCACCTCCGCAGCTGTTATAGCTAGAGAACTGAATTTTTCGCCAGTAAAATTTTCTGATCTCTATATACTGACTTTTCCATTTTTTTGGTTAGTTTATACAAGGAACACCCTGTATATTTTCACACTTTTTGAGTCCCCTTTTCACATACTTTTCTAATTTAAGGTTTATGGGGATTCGTATAACTGTTTTTTGAGTTTTTAAAAACACGGACGCCTCTTGCCTTTCCGACTTTATTGCATAGATTTAATGTATAATGACCATATCCCTGGTCTTAATTTCTACCAATCACAAACGCGCAATTATGAATTACAAATGGTTTCTAGATTGAAAAATTGAGTGACAGCACCTGTCAGCAGTTTTTTCGAGCTTACCCGCGGAAAAACTTGACAGCTGTTGTTACCAAAAATTACAATACCTCCTAGAACACCGGTAATGTGTTACTCATGAAATACCATTCGGGCACCTAAATTTTTCCTGTGAATAAAATCGAAAAAAATAATGAAGGGTAATGTTTTTTTAACAAAAAAAATTCGAGCAGGTGCAGAAATTCTCGTCTTCGACTCGAATTTTTGTTGCCACCAGCACTCGTGCTTCTCGTTAAAATATGACTTAGCAACGTCTTTTTTCGATTATTTTCAGCAAAATTAGATGCCCTTACGATATTACTTATGAAAACACCCAAACTTTACCATCTGCCACTACTAACTGAATGCTATTTTTATTTTAAAAGGTATTGTAATTTTTTTCATAACTGTTACTCAAAAACCATTTGTACAAACTCCTATAAACCCTATAGCAAAAAAAATCTTGTTGAAAATTTTGGAAATACGTTCATTTTTTGTTCTTAAAGCACCCTAAACTGACGAAAAAACTGATACAGTAAGTGGCTTGGAAGGAAATTTAGGATCATAGATTTCTTCTGACTAAAAGTTCAGTAGTGTTCTGTAGTTGCGGAGGTATGAGTTGTCAAAGTTGTGTGTTCTGTTTTTGCAGATATGTTCAAAATCTCATCAACTTAGAAATAAAACCCTATAGCATATTATATCAAATTGCTTCATTTGAAAATGCCTATCCGAATCTGCAATAAACTGGGTCCATTGAAAAAATATGTTTCACCACTACATGTAGATAAAACATTTTCCAAATAAGGAGCATATTGATAGCTATAGTTTTTGTAATCAACTTTTTCACTGCGTAACGACGGAATTATCGACCGACCCCACTCTGAAAACCCAGCTAAAAATACGCAGTGTGGCAAGGTAGCCTCTTATTGTAGTTCTGCTGGTTTTGTGGTCACTTAGGATTCTATAAGAAACATGAACAGATTTTGAAATTGTGGAGTTAGCTTCACGTCAAAACGGAAAAAAATGAGCAACCTGTCACGACTAACAGTAGTCAGTACTGTCAAATTACTTTAGTGATTATAAAAACCCTTTTTTTTGGTCGACACTCGTCATTTTCTGTCGCTGTCAAAAATAATGTAACGGAACACTTAACGAATCGTTATTTTTGTTGCACTAAAAACTCTCCAATATCTCGTGATTTTTAGAGAAGTATGTCTGAGCCCGAAGCAGCCGCTATAATAAAAACGCTAGCAACAACGTTAGCATATCTGCACGAAAACGGTGTTGTACATAGAGACCTTAAGCCTGCTAATATTCTGTTTGCCTCTGAAGACAGAACTGCAGACAGTGTAACAATCTGTGATATGGGCTTTGCCAAACAGGTATGAAATTAAATTTTTATTAGGTTGTAGATTCTCCAGCGATTATATGGTTTGTTATTGTATTATCAACATCATGTGTCTTTTTTTAGCTTCGAGCTGAAAATGGTCTGTTAATGACCCCTTGTTATACCTTACACTATGTGGCCCCAGAAGTTTTGAAAAGGCAAGGTTATGACGCAGCTTGCGATATTTGGTCCTTAGGTGTGATTCTATATATAATGCTATCAGGAAGGTGCCCTTTCAGTACAGCTTCTACGGACAGCCAGGAAATTTTGCAGAGGATAGGTTCGGGAAAACTCGACTTACAGGTAAACTTACCACCACTCACAATATTCTCCTTTTTTTTAAACCAAAGCAACCGCGCAGGCAGAAGCCTGAATACCAGGACACTGCGGCTGCTATGAGAAGCTTAAACAAACTTTGTTAATCCGATTTTTGAACTGCCTAAGGTTAGTAGAACTGGAAGAAGCCTCCTCATGTAAATTGTTCCACATTTCGATACCTTAGTGACAAAGGAGCGGTCGTATCGGCCAGTTCTGGATGTACTAAGTTCGCCACGAATAGACTTCCGCGATTGAAAAACCACATCACAGTGAAATGGAGCATACCTAACCATTGACTAATCATTTTTTTGAACTTCCGCGCCACTGGCGAGGAATTATTATAGTCGCAAAGAATTTCGAAAATGAGCGGTTTTTTCTTCACCGAAAAACCATGTTACTTATCTCCGTCTCTCTGTGCGCCTGTCGATTTGTCGCTCTAGCGGTCTTTTTGCCTGTTAATTCTTGGATTGTCTATAACTTAGAGAAACTTTCGCACGGATTTTAATGAAAATCGGGGGTTGTAGGGGTAGGGAAAGAGTATACCCCAATTTTTTGGTGTTATACATTTCCAACCCCGGTAATTCTATGCAGCTATTAGACATATTTGACACATTATTATAGGTTTCCCCGTACATTTGTCCTTGAAACCGGACGTAAGAAAAATATTTTCAACACACGCATATATGGGTCGCGGTCTGAACGATGGACGTTGGGTTGCAACCATGGCTAACGAGTGGCGAGGTTAGGGCAGGGGAGACATTTCTAAATCTCAACGTACTCAACTGGGTGGGACTGCGGACTAGTTGTATGGTCCTGTTTGTCTGATTTGATCCCGTTAATTTGTTCGTAGCTAACTTTTTTTCTCAGCGGGGCTAACCTGTATCTAACATAATCTAAAATAATGAGCTGATAACTGTGTTGCGTGAGAAGTTCAGAGTAAACCTACGTGCCGCCATTTTTTGCAGGGCGGTCGTTGGCCAGAAGTGTCTACCGAAGCCAAACTTCTAGTGACGGACATGCTTCACATATCTCCCCAGCGACGGCCGACAGCCTCTCAACTGGTGAAACACCCCTGGGTGACATCTCGATTAATCGTTTATGTCCAACAGCAAGCCAGGACGCCTTCGGATGCCACTAGAATCCAATCTTCGGTCGCGGAGGGTAACCTTAAGGAAATGGTTGCCGCCACTTTTAGGTATGTGAATTTATCTACAGTAGCGGACAAAAGTTGGGAAACAAATACTAACATTATTATGAACTATTTGATATACCTAAATTAAAATTGGGAAGGAACAGTATAAATATTAAAGTCTACCTTTCTCTCCCGTATCAATACAAGGTTTATCTTATCAATGTTCAAATTCTCTGAAAATAAAACACGCGTTTTTTAAATACCACAGTTTTTGTAACGACAAAAGTATGACAACATTTCAGTTTTGCCGTATTTATTCGTTCTGCAATACTGCGTGCGGTAAATATTAACATCAGTGAAAATGGCAGAAGTAAAAGGAATTTCAAAGGATTTAAGTGATTGAATTATTTAGAAATGGTGTCAGAAATATTGACATTTTCCAAAGATTAAACGTGAACAAAGGACCTTTTCGAAAATTGTTAGTAAAGACCGAAAAAAAAAACCGATTGTTTATATTAAACGTTTGTCCCATGAAGATCCTCGAATGCCAGCCACTCAGATTTTCAAAGGAATCGTAGAAGCGGGTGCCGAGAATCTCTCAGTCAGAACAGTGCAAATACGCTTGGTGGATTTTGGGCTCTTTGGCAGGCGTCCAGTGCAAAAGCCTCTCATTTAAAAAAAAATCGTATTGCTCGGCTTGAATTTGCTAACTTGGACAGAACAACAATAGAATACAGTTTGATGGAGCGATGAAAGGAAATTTAACTTGTTTGGATCTGACGGTACGGCATATGTGAGACGTCCAATACGAAAAAGATTCGACAAAAAGTATCATTTGCATCATGGTTTGGGGCTGTTTTCCTAGTTCTGGAACGTGTCCAATTGTTAAAATTGTTGGGAAAATGGATCAAAAACATTACAAAGATATTCTTAGTGAACACCCTCCCTTTTGCTGAAGAAGAAATGCCTTTACGATGGACATTCCAGCAAGATAATGACCTCAAGTATACCTCAAAATTCGTAAAGGACTGGTTAAGACTAAAAAATGTTAATGTTCTTACATGCACTTCACAATCCGCGGGCCTAAACCCTATAGAATATCTCTGGGAGCATGTTAAAAGACAACTGACAAAAAAACTTTTAAAAATAGAAAGGGTTTATTTGATTATGTAAAAAATATTTGGCAAAATATCCAAACAGACGTCTGTAAAAAATTGGTGTGTTCTATGAGCAGCGGATGCCAGGCTATGCTGCCAAATATTAGCTAAACAGTATTTTTTAAATATTTTTGTTATTATATTTAATTTTGTAATAAAAAATATGTTCCCATAGTTTTGTCGTCTCATTTTTGGTCATAAAATAATATGTATGTATTTTAATGCTAGTCTGTAGTACCACAGCAAACACAAATTGTCATTTGTATCCTCAAGGCTATAAGCAAACTATATGAGAAAAAAATGGTCATTTATAATAAAGAATAAAACAGCGTACTTTTTAAAAATTACTAAGAATGTTTCCAAACTTTTCTCCGCTAATGTATATTTCTCAACTAAAGATATTGATTTTTGGACCTTTTTTGATCGTTAGCCATTTTATATTTCTCCAGCAATGTGTGTGAACCAAGATCAACAGAATTGAGATCAACCACTTGAAATGGGAAACTCATGATTTTGTTCTCGAAGCTATATCCGGTACTAAATTCGTTTACTTGAAAATTAGGATCAAGACCGAGTTCTTATGGTATTGAGGTTAGAAAAAATTTGAATTCCAAACTGGCAATTTTGTTTTAAAAACTAAACAGCTTGGTGCATACTTAGAGGTTTTACGGATAACTTCATTTTCCCTATACAAATGATACTTTTCGTGGATGATTTTTTCAATTTCATGAAACTCAGATACTCTTCGTAAAACCTGTAAGTTAGTACCCAGCTAATTAATTTTGAGTCTCTACGCACGAGATTACATGATTTATGCATAGTTACATCGCCTTGTTAAGTAAGGTGAAACGTCCCTCTTTCAGATTTTTTTTCAACTTCCTGTTTGCAGCAGTACTCTAAAACCATTTCATCTGATAATTTCATGGTGTGTATAGAGATGACTAAAAAACAATGTTTTCATTTTCTTTTGCCAAAAAATTCCTTTTTTGTGCATTTTATTGTGCAATTTTCTTCAGTCGGAACTTGTTAACAAATATAAGTACAGCTCTGAAATTGTGTGTGAATATTCCTCTTCTATGAAAGAATGAAACGAGTGATTATTTTTGTTATTACTTTTCTTTTCGAAAAATCTTTGCTTTTCTTGAAAACACTGCGAGACGAGGATTTAATAAAATCAAAGATTTTTCGAAAAAGAAAAGTGATAACAAAATTAATCACTCACATATACACAAATTCATATTGTGCTGTATTTCTTTTTTAACTTGTTTTATTAATACACCAACCTGTATACATAATTCGTTATAGCATAACACTCACTTATACATAAATAAATTCATTAGACTCCCTTTAATAAAAAATTAATGAAAAAAACTGGAACTATGAAGGACAAAAATATATAGACAAAGTAAAACAATTATACAAAAAAGAAGCAAAGTTCATTGAATTATAGAAAACCAACCATGTTTGTGTTAATATACATATTGTAGCATAACCATTATTATGAATCACCGCCTGGCATCGTCTCGGCATAGATTGTAGAAGTTTCTTGATATAAGATTCATCAATCTGTCTCCACTTTTGCTCTAAAGCGGCAAAAAGTTCATCTTTGTTTGAATAATTTTTATATCGTATTTGCTTATCTAAGTATTCCCATAGATTTTCAATGGGGTTTATATCGGGAGACTGTGAAGGCCATTTGAGAACTGTTATTTTTTCATCCAGAAATAATTTCTTTGCGAGATTTGAAGTGTCCTTCGGGTTATTATCTTGCTGGAAGATTGATCTTAAGGGCATATTGTCTTCCATATAGGGTAACATGACATGCTTTATAGTATGTCTGTGTATACAAACTTATCCATAATGCCACCTATTCTATGTAAAGGTCCCATCCCAAACCCTGAAAAGCACTCCCAAACCATAACAGACCCGCCTCCATGTTTGACAGTGGGCAAAGTGTACTTGGGGTTCAATCTTTGTCCACTACGACGTCTAACGTAATGAACACCATCTGGTCCAAACATATATTGAACTTGGATTCGTCACTGAAACATACCCTCTTTCAGTCACAGATGCTCCAATCAAGATGCAACCGTGCAAATTGTAATCGGTCCTTACGGTTTTTCCTCGAGATTAGCGGCTTGTTACTCGGGCGACGTGTAAATAACTTCAAATCATTTAATCTTCTACTTATAGTTTTCGTAGAAACACTGGCAATTCCTTTTGTCTCGATTTCGGCTTTTATTTCTCTTGGGGTTTTAAACGGATCTTTGGACGAAATTACTTTTATTAATCTAACGGATCTAGCATTTAGTTTTCTAGGACGACCACTTCTCTTAGAGGCTTCCAAGATACCTTTTTGTTTATATTTGTTCAATATTGCCTAAGCTGCTTTACGCTTCAGCTTCAAATTTTTGGCAATGTCGACTTGACGTTGACCATCTTTGTATAACTCAATGATCTTAGTTTTCACATCAAAAGAAATTTCTGGACCACGCTGCATGGTCTTAAAATCACTCAACTCATTCCACAATACTTGATGAACACAAACTAATCCTCTTCTACGAAACTGTACTAAACTAATGTTGAAAAGAATTTGTCTACATATTTTTGTCCCTCATAAAAGAGTGCTTATATTCAGACTTGTATTGTGTTCTTTGCAGATAATGTAAAAACAAGGAATTTCGTTTTTCTACCAATAACGCATTTGTTTATAGAGCAATGAAGTATGTGTTCGTTTTTTAAAGGTATTTAGGTAAATATTCATATTTGTCTATATACTTTTGTCCATTACTGTATATTTGTTAACAAGTTTCGGTTGAAGAAAGAATGCACAATAAAATGCACAAAAAATGCATTTTTTGACAAAATAATGAAAACATTGTTCTTTAGTCATCTCTATACACACCATGAAATTATCAGATGAAAAGGATTTAGAATACTGCTGCAAACAGGCAGTTGATAGGAAATCTAAAAAAAAGGATGTACCACCTTAAGGTCAACTTTCAGCTAAACTGCACCGTAACTTCCATGTTTTTGTTGCACCAAATCACTTAAAACTTGAGTGGGACTTAAATGGGCATTTTAACTAAGTCGAAGAATTTATCTGCTTAAGGTGGATTTTCCAACCGAAAATGTCAAATTTCTAGTTTGACATTTTTATGATTTGACTTACTGACCACTATCTGTCAAGTTCTTGGTAAATTAAAAACTATGAATATGGAACGTCCTTGCAAGCTCTTCATTATCTTATCAGAAATAACAACCAAGTTTGAATATGAAATGTACAGACGTACAGGAGTGCAAATGCTTCAGACTCAGTTTTTAAGTTGGCGATTTAAAGGAGGTACCCAGATAAGAGATTATGTCATTGGGCGTGCCTTTTTGCTCATATTACTTTGGCTTGTAAGTGAACACGTAATTTCCCTGAAAAGTTACACTAAAGTTGCACTGTTGTCAGATGTAAATTTATTTCAGCTAAGTTTTCAGCAACTGCCCAACTAGCAAAGTAGTGGTATAAGCTTGTGGTAAAACAACCATTCAGCCATAAAAGCTCTGTATTGTTGTTGCCTGAACACCAAAATTCTGGCTTAATGTTGTGTAGAATGCAAATTTGCTTTCTGCAACATATTTGCTCTAAAGTGAGGCGTTGAAAATATTCTTATAGCATAGTTATACAAAACCTTATAGGGAAAAATTTTTAACTGTTGCATAAACGTTTATATTCGTTCATATTTGCACGTTAGTCAAAATGGTTCTGTTGTGGCATAAATGGTAACGTTTATAAAACAAACCCGAGCCTTGTCGTTTTGCAGTGCAATTTACTACGTTAGCGAACAAATTGCTCCCAACGGAAGCACTTATACAACTGTTGTTTAGTAACTGTTAAAGGCTGTGTGTACATATGTTAAATATGTTGGTATACAACTTCACCATAACCCAACTTTTTGCTGTCATATTTTTGTTAAAATGCCATAACCAATGTTTTAAGACAAACAACACATGCATATTGGTTCAAAATGTTTTATCAACTGTTCAAACAGAAGATATAGATCTGGTACAAATTCTGGGTAAATCATTCGACTCTGTCGGTATTTCATTTCAGACATTTGTCAAATTGTTGTATAACTCCTGCAGGCAACACCTAAATATTCTAATAACCTAAAGACAACATGAACGATGCCATGATTATACACAACCACCCGCCATATTGGGCAAACATTTATTCCTCTATTTAATATTAAATAATTATGTTTCAGTTCGAAATTACAGATATAAAGTGATAAACATTAGTGTAATTGTGTCTAAATATAGGATTTGTGGAAGATTTAACGCAGATAAGTTCAGTTGTCCATCTTAAAAATCTAGACATACTTTTGATCATTATCAAAATATGAATCAAATACGAATCCCGTAGAAATTGCGTAACTAATTTGCACGATAATCACAATAAAATTTGCTGCGCAAGTAATTCAATAGCCCTATATCACAGTGTAGAAGTTTATCATATACCTGTGTATGAAATTCACAATGGCCGATATGTAAATAAACAAGATGACTGTAATGTGTTAGTTATATATTCTTCTTCGTCTATACAATATATAAGAAATAGTTTGGTTGCAATAAAGTAGAATCACGTAACAGAATAGTTGTATAGTTGACAAAAACTGAATCTTGTACTGACGCAAATGTCCTATAGCGGCTGCAAGAGGCTTACACTTTTGTTGTATAACTGTTACCTGCAGCCCTTGTACAACCTCTTAAATGACTGAAGTGTCCTATAAGGTGTGCCCATTCCGCTTGTATAGCAGTTCTAAGAGGGTTTTGCCAATGTTCTTACAGTATACAATGCTGTTTAAGGAATACTGTATAATCATTCTTATAACTCTAATTGGAGTGATAATTGTTAGATGGGTGGTACAACAAAACCTCAATTTGAAGTTCACCTTAACATTTGGACCAACTTTGCTAAGTGGTAGATTTAAGAAAGTTTATGCAATCGGGCAAGGAGAATTGTCAGTTTGGAATATCCGAACCCCAGCACCCTAGAAACCCCGCGTTGAACAAGGATAGTGGAACATTGAAGAAAAACTGTGCGGAAATGGACTTTTAATAAACGTCTATATATTGATGAGACTCAGTACATCGTCTCACTCTTTTTATGACATCAATCCAAACTTTGCACTGTTGGTTAAATATGGCCTTAACAAAAGATATGATATTCTATCTTTATACATTTTCAGAGCGATAGCCACTTCACCACAAGTCGCCCACCTTGGGCCAGTGGCGATGTCAGAATTGGCCCGTAGGAGGTTCCGAGATAAGGCATTGAACAGGGTGCAGGAAGAAGGTAGGAGTAAGGATTTTTAAATGTGATATCGTATATATGTGCAAAAACCTTGGTAGTTTAGTTTGAAAATTGAGATAATAGGAGATGGAGCTTGTCAATGCGCCAAAGATGTTTCTTAGCCTAGATAGTTGAACAGTAGAACCAAATGCCAAAATTGTCAGTGTTAGCTCAGATTTTAAATCTAACCTGAAAAATCAGTTTCCGTGGTTCTTTTTGATTTGTCAGAAAACAGCAGATCCAACCATCAACTGAAGTATGATAAAGTCGTATTTCTAGCGATGTTTTGTATGATCTATTTTCCAAGTTCATCCTGTTTAACAGTAACCTAGAACTGAGGAGACCTCTTTGGCGTATTTTAATTCCATCGTTTGAATTGTTAGTGTAAGAAAAATGTATCCTTCAACATGGCTGTAAGCTACAGGATAGTAAAAAAAATCGATATTTTTCAAATACTATATTCTAGTCAAACTCTGGCAAACTAGTGATCTAGAGACATGATGGTGTCTTTGAACAAAAAATCACTTATGAATCATGTGTCAAATTGTTATAATTATAATTAGTCTGGGCAATATCCTCGCATCTGATGAGAAAAATGTTATGATCCGGATTTTTTTTTGCATAATCTTATTCAAAAAGAGCCCCTTTTAATGAATCTGCAGGTTGCCAGGCCCAAATTTGCGTGAAAATTTTTTTATATACATATATAAATTCAAAAAATCGGTCAGCGGTTTTTGGGACATTCTGAACAAAAAAGGTGCTTTAGAACTTTTCTCTAGAGTTGATAGTTTTTGAGATATTAGCGATACAATAGGGAAAGTCAGGGTGATATGGTGAACAAAAAAATTGAGCAGTGTAAAACACAACAATATAAAGTCACTTATTTTCCACAAAATATGTTGGCAACAACTTAACAGTATTATATCCTCTTTAACGCATTACTAACGTAAAAAAAACACATTAATTATTTTTAATAAATTCGCCATTTCACCCAGGCATATGGGTGAAATGGTAAATGCATATTGGGTGAATTGGTGAGCTTACTTTTTTTGCTATTTTTGCTTTTCACCTCGTATATCACACGTGTATTCGCATTTTGAACAGTCTTCGTGCAGCCATTGTTGGGAGCTAATATATTTTATCCAATTCACGTCCGTTTGAGTGCAACTGTACAGTTCACCACACCCTACGCAACAACTTTCTTTATCGTCCACGTCGTCAGCATCATCTTGCAAGTGGATATCTAGCGATGAGTCGAATTCAGTTTCAGTGGTAGGCGGTTTTCGTTTTTTGAATTGCTTGATTTTTTGATTTTAGTATTTCGTTTGGTAGTCTTTTTGGTTGCGGTTCTTTCTTTGGCTTTCCTTTTCGCATTTGCTTCACTCTTCAGTGACTCAGTGGTTTGGTTTTGTCGTTTTCTGTTTGATAGGTTGACGATGTTAGATGAGGAATTCAAAACCTCCGCTAAAGCTATGGATTCCTTCTTTACAGATGTAATTTCATCTAATTTAGGTACTGGCGAAATTTGATCCAAAACTTTGCCAGGGGTTATGTGCGGCTTTTCTGTTGTCACTGATGAAGCCAGAGCTGACGCTTGTGATGATAATTCCATGCTTTTCTGTGCCTTTTCCGTGCGTTGCGACCAGCCCGGATGTGGTGAGGCTTGCCTGTGCTGAAGTCCTTGATCTTTATCTACTTCTGCATTTGCTTCTTCCGAGGGATTCTGCCAGTCTGAACAACTGGGTTGAGGTGAGGTAGTTATGTTGTTTCCCTGTTGGTGATCTGAAGATGATGTTAAAAAGGCATATTCCGGAATGGCATCAAGATTAAACGGGATGGTTCCTGTGCTTCTAAACCTCTATATTGCGTTCTCTGTCGTAGCTGCTTGTATCCATGATTTTGCAAACAATCCTCCAAATACTAGTCTCGAAATTTTTCGATTTGGATTCATTTTAATGTAGGAATTGCAAGCATTGTAATAATATGATTTTAATTATTTAAAAAATGCCCTGTCTAGAGGCTGTAGGTAATGGGTCCTACGGCTGGGTGGACAGATTAAAACGATATTTTCCTCCGCAAACTCGAATGTATCCACACTGCTGCAATGAGAGCTATGCCCGTCTAAAATGAGCAAAACTTTTCTCTCAGGCTTTCTCGGTACAAAATGATTCCTTAACCATAAAAGAAAAATATCAGTCGTTACGAATGCCGACTACTGTGACAAAAATTATGGAATCTGGTGACATACCATCTTTGTATTCGGCCTTTTCATTCTTTCCCTTCAAAACACATGCTAGGGGTAAAATCATGCCCTCTCCATTGCAGCAAGCGATTACAGTAATCGTTTCGATCTTTCCACCGGATGTTATTGTTGCAACACTCTTAGATCCATTTGCTGCCAATACATAATCTGGTTTATTATTCAACTGAAGTCCGGACTCATCTGGGACCTCGGTTGGCCGCGTGGGTCAGAGTGTCGTGCTACTGATCAGCCGGCCGGCCGGGCCGCGAGTTCGAATCTCGCCTTCGCCATGGATGTTGTGTGTTTGTTTTAGGCAGCAGCGGTGGCCGCAGTAGTAGACTCTTCGGTCTCCTGATCAGCCGCCGTGCGCTGTGCGGGTTCGAGTCCCGTCCCAGGAGAAATGTTTCTCTTGGCCATGGATGTTGTGATTGTCCGTAGGTGGTAGATGGTCTCTGACTGTCGAACGTGGAGGTACCACCCGGCGGTTCTCGTAGGCGGAGCCAGAATGTGTGCATGTTGCATGCACACGTGTTCCCTCGCCAGAGTCCGTGTGGCGTCCCCCCTTTCCCATGTATCCCCCATAGCCCCACGGTACCCAATGGGTGCTTAGGCCTTAGGCCTTCGTGGTAGTTGGAGTATAAAAAAAAAAAAAAAAAAAAAAAAAAAAAAAAAAAAAAAAAAAAAAACGTTAAATATATTTCCCGACTTATCGAGGAGGTTGAGCTCTATCAATATGTTCTGCAGTAATGAAAAGTAATCTGAAACATTTATCTTGTTTAAACCTCTTGATCGTGCTCGCGAAACTCACTCCGATTTACGAATTGAGAGTTCTGGATTTCTTTTTAAGAATAAGTTGAGCCAATCCATTCCGACAATTTTCTTTTCTTGGTTAAATTTGTGATGCTGATTACGTTTCTTAGCCAGTTTATAAGTCATGGTACGTACTTCCGTTCTTGTCGGAGTAATTTCGAATTTTTGTAATCTTATACGTTTTACCATTTTCTTCTCACATTCTGCTGTTAGGACAGGCGGCGCACCCAAAGGTTTTTTCGTTTGATATACGTCTTTTTAGGGTTGACCACGGAACGCCAAACTCCTTTGATGCTTCATGCTTCATTCAGGCTCATTCCGTTTTGTACTGCTTTTTGAGCATCTTTAAGTTGCGCCTCTGTCCAATCAGCCCGACTAAATCCTCGTTGCCGTTTATAAAATGTAGGTATCTTTGTCTGAAAGAATGGTGAGAGTTAGAGCTTTAACTAAGATCGAGAAAACTAGTACAATGTGTTTTTTTTAATCACCGACAAATCAAAAAAGGCATAGAATTAGGTTAAAAATTCAAGCAATGGAAAAACCTAGTTCAGATTTAAAGAAATACTTTACACGTAACAAAAGGCTTCGCCGAATCACCCATGCTCGAGTCCACCATTTGCCTTGGGTGAAATGGTGAATAGCGTGGCAGAGTTCAGAATATTAAAAGCAATGATTGCTAGGTTATGTACCATTTAAACAGTCTAAGAAGACATAATATCAAAAAATGCCGCGCAGACTACGCTACCTTAAGCAATATCTACAAATGCATGCATCGTATAAAAATTATTGAGCACCAAAAACACTTTTTTACAAATAACTGAAGTTTTTTAAAACAATAGTTATTTTTATCAGGGGCCCGCAACACATATGGTAATAAACTTTCGCCATTCAGACTTACAGCGACCCTATTTGAAAAAAACGTATGCCATCTTCGACATCGAAAAACGAAAACTTTATTGTTGTCAATGTTGCTTAACACTCTTCAAACATCCACTAACAAAACCCAAAAGTATATCAGGAGATGTTGTTATTGTACCCCTTTTGTTTTTTAAGCCCTACATGTTGCATCTATCCCGCACTCACAGAGTATTCTCTGTAAGCGATTGGTTAACAATTAAATAACAAAGGTTTATAATAACAGTACCTCTTGGAATGGTTTAGAATTTTGTTAATGGATGTTTGAGGAATATTTAGGAACATTGATAGCATACAAATTTTCGTTTTTTCACATTGTTTTTCGGGGTTGTAGTTCGCACTTTTTCAAATGTTAAATCGCTTATACCTCGAAAATTATCAACTCTAGAGAAAAGTTTTTTTGTTAAAACATCTAGATACCTTGACTGGATTTTTTTTATATTCCAACTACCACGAAGGCCTAAGGCCTAAACACCCATTGGGTACCGTGGGGCATTCTGGCTCCGCCTACGAGATCCGCCGGGTGGTACCTCCACGTTCGACAGTCAGAGACCATCTACCACCTAAGGACAATCCATAGCCAAGAGAAAAATTTCTCCTGGAACGGGACTCGAACCCGCACAACGCACGGCGACTGATCAGGAGACCGAAGAGTCTACTACTGCGGCCACCTCTGCTGCCTATGTTTTGAATTAAAAAGAAATGGTTTAAACATTTTTTGACGTAGTTCTGTGCCTGGCATATTGTCAGATTTGTTAAAAAGAGCCATTTTTGAATAATATTAGGCTAAAAACCCGAACCAAAATATTTTTGTCATCAGATGCGAAGAAATTGCCTGGACTACATGTATCCAAATTATACATAATATGTATGTCGGTCTCCGCACGTACCGGCGTAACTAGTATTTTACAAATTTTACAGGAGAGACGAAAAACGAAAATCAGCAACAAATAAGATTGAATATGACATACTGATTTTTTACTCATCACGTTAATGTTTTTTTGTTAGACGAAAATACTGTAGAACTTTGTTTTGGCATGGTCTAACTTGGTAAAAAAATAGGTTTTTTAAGAAGAAAAATATTTTGTATAGTTACGCTACTTCGTGACGACTCTTGTTTCTTCAATTGTATAGTTACACCAACATTTTGTAACTGAAAGTGGGTATAGAAAATACTTTTCCAAAAATAATATTTGTTTTATTCACTTTATATTATTATAAATACAAACAAAATGTGAATTCAGGAGTAAGCTTAACCTAAGAAACATTGTAAAAATAATGACAGTTTCTAAATTATTTTTAAACATTATTTTTCATGGGGCAGAGAATAATAAAATTGTTGCATTTCAGAGATACGTATAACTGGAGTTTCTCCTTTGCAAAGAGATGTAAGATCCTCATATTTTTTTTGATATCTTAGTAAGTCCATCATTCAAAGGATTTAATAGCAGGTTACTTAGCCAGCCCTTAATGCGATGTTTCAATACTAATCTATCGTAATGATGGTCTTGATGGCTGTATTTAAAGAAGAGTGTCATAGGTTCATCCCGTTTTACCGTTACCTCCATAATGTCTGGCCATTTTATTTTATTTCCTAGCTCACTCTCTTTTACTGTTAATATGCGTAGTGCCTTGGAGAAAGATTTAAAATCGAAAAAGTCACTGAAATTCATTGGAATGACTGTATAGGGTTGCTTGGATCTAACAAAACGGATGGTCACCGGCATGCGTGATAGCATGACCGATCGCACTGTGGGCTGAATCTCCCTGATTCTGCCCATGGTTAGTTTCAAAAAAGTTAAGGCATATTTCTTCAAGGGTTGGTAACTTGCCTAATGCATACAGTAACAATGGATGCTACAATAGAATTTTTATTCTGACCGTAGCATCCATCGCAGTACAAGTGAATAGTTCGAATTCCTTTGTCACTATACTCACTAATCGCTTTGAATATACACGTTGCGATTTCGGACAAACCACGTTTGCTACTGGTTTCATCCCAAGTGAAGCAAAAACATTCTTTTGTTGCCCCATTATAAAAAGTAAAATTGCAGGTGGATAATCTGGACTTATAAAAAATAACACTTTCTTTTGACTTGGGCAAATAAATAACCTGCTGAAGATCGAAAACAGCGCATAAGAAGTTTGAGTTATTTTGAGCTTCTGCTTTACTTTGATCTTTCTTTTCTCTGACTAATGTTTTTTCCAAAATATGTTTTTCATATTTATTCTTTAAAGACTCTTTCTTTATTTCTTCTCCATTTCTATAGGGCAAACAAAGGGAAAATTGATCCTGTTTAGGATGCAGAAACGTCAGATTTTTTGATTTAAAAACTTTTCTGAAAGTAGAGAAACTTGGTAATTTATAGCACCCATTACCAACTTCTTCTCGAAACATGTTGTACATTTTTCGTAAAGTCAAGTCTGGATGGAGGTACAGCCTGTTGGTACTTGCCCTACAATAATGTGATTCAACTTGTAGATATCTGGCTATTATTATATTATTTTTCTTTTTTTGGAATAACTTCAACGTGTTGAATTAGAAATAACCTCTATCTAGTGAGGTTTCCCAAACCGTGGTCTTGGTCAAAAATTTTCTTCCTTTCTTCATCCGGAATTTCTCCACACTGTTTACCCATACCTCTACACTTGTCCGCATTACATCGTCCATGTATTTTTTTCGCTGCTGCTAAGTTTCCGGTTTTAACACTTACATACTCTTTGCCGCTATTTCTTAATTTTTGAGCTACTTCTTTTGCTTTATTTTTCCTTTTTCTCCTTGGTGTTTCAGTTTCTTTTTCTGCACCTTCAAGAATAAATACTTCTTGTTGCGGTTTCATAACATTAGCATGTTGGTCGTTTGAAGCTGAAAGCAAAAAACGAACTGATAGATACTATTTTTATTATTGCAAGGTGGAAAAATGTTACCAAAAATGTAACAAAAGCTAAAATTATAGTCAATAATACCTGCGTCATATTTTTGCTTAAGGTGTAACGAATTTTCCGCCACCTTCCTGACAATGTTAGCCTTGCCATGATCTTAGCAGTTGTCTGTATCTTCAATTGTGTGTTGCCAACAGAGTAATATTTGGCTCCTGGGACAGGCAATCCAAACTTCTTTTTTACACTTGAGAACCTCACATATCCCATATGGGGGATCTGCATCCGAATCATAATTTTCTGACTGTGAATGATAGCCGTTATCTGCCAAGCTTTCTACTTCAATCCGCTACAACAAAATCGATAATTACGAATCAAAATTAATTACGTTAATTAGACGTTCTAGAGAAAAAAATAAAAGTTTTAATTTTTTTCGCCGATACTTAGTGATACTTCCAATATCTTTGGTATCTTTTATAATAACCCCTGCATGTGGGTGGCGTAATATACATGAAAACTTATACATATACCCAATACTCACTTGATTTAAGCTGTAATATCTTTTGCTTCCAGTTGTTGATGAACTTCTCCTATTGTTTGTTCTAGGTTTTCCTTTCGGATATTTTTAGTGTTTTAGAGCAACTGTGCTAATGGAATATCTTCGGTATCAGTATCACTGGTTTCTATACTCTCTACCGCCAAAACAGTACCTTTATATATTTTTTTCTTATACTTCATGTTTACTTTATTTCCTACCTTTAACTTCCTGTTCCCTTCTACGAACAGTTCTTTCGAATCTACGACATTCTTCGTACCATCTTCCCTTTGCACCAAAACATCCATGTTTCATAAGGATTGATGGAAATTCACACAAAAATAAAACAAGCAAAATGGGCGATTTTCAACTCGAACTGACATTGCATAAACTCCAAGACTACAAGTCAATAATGTGTTACACCTTTGCACTGTATCACAGTTATTTAATAACAGGTCAACGTTTACAACAATATAACAATGTTTATAGGTTATCTTTACACCACGTGTGCGTGCTGTTGATTTACCGTTCAAATCAAACAAACTACATTCTAGCGTGGCCTCCGAGATGCGCGAAATTATGAGTGAAAGAGTCAGTGTGCAACACAGACAGAGAACGGAAAGTCGACCTGCAGTTTTAACGTAGAGGCGTAAATCTATTTAAGCCGGTACGTGAAAAACGTTTTTGGAATTTTGGTCACTTACGTTATTGTTCAAAACTTGTATTTTAAAGCAGTGCGCTAAGATACACTTACGCCATTTCGTGAGGTGAAAGAGCACACAAATATATGCAGAATGCCGTTGTAACTCGATTTTGGATTTTTTGTCATTTACGCCTGTACGTGCGGAGACCGACGAATAGTTGTGTAAACAGTAATTTCAAAATATTGTCTGGAATTTTTAGTTATCTTAAAATTGAAGATATATTAAGAGGAATTAAGCTTTCATCAAAAGAGCTGAGCAATTTTGGTTGTTTTATAAAGAAATACAGAATATTTATCAGTAGCTCGTTATCGAAATACTAAAGCACAAACTCTTCAATTTTGATAACATAACTTTTGTTTTTGTACGATCTAGTTTACAATTACGTTACGTGCCATGTTAAGATTCCAAATTTTTTACTGTTATTTCGTTAGTATATACTGATGACTATTATTATTTATTTGTAGAATAAGGAAAAATATAATTGTTAATTTTTAAATAATTCTAATGTTATCATTTTTTGTAGCGTGGAAGGTATTGTATTTCTTAAAAAATCCTTCGTTATGTTTATTGTTTATAATTAAAGAACAGAAAAACAAAAATTGGTAATTTATTGAATAATTATATTTTTGAAACGCTTATTTAGAAATGAAGAACGAAAACTGCTAATCTTGCAACTCCCTGAAATGTTTCGTTTTGAATTTATTTTTCATCATCCCCAGTTTGTGTATTTCTATCTTAGCCATTGCAGTTTCGAGAAATCTACATCACTAGTTTATTTTGTTGTCAAAAAACAATCATAAATATAATTATCTATAAAGCTCTAAAATTTAGGCGAAAAAGTATTACTATATTCTAAAAGTATTGCGTAAACCCCATAGAGATGTACAAAGTGTTTTATTAAATAATAATATCTGTGCAGTATTACCCACTTACCAACTTAAATCAGTTCCCCAGCTCTTTGACAACATGCGTGTGTACAAAGGGTAGAGTAAAGTTGGTGAATGTGGAATACTTTTCATTTGAAGCCTATAATTCCATACTAATTTGAGGCATTCAAATAAATCAAGTAGTTCCGATATCTGTGAGGTTCTGTCAAATCGCTGGAGTAGTTTAGGTCGCATATGTTGAGTCCATGCATTTGCAAAAATGAAATTATGCGTAGCGTGCAATATGTAGCCATCGAAAATTAGTATGCTAAGCTACTGAATAGTAGAGTAACATATTATTTTCTGACCAAGTGTGACCTTTTATTTCTTTGGAAGGCATTTTCTGAAAAAAAGTAACATATAGTCCAAAACATAATATCCTTAATCAGTAGGCCCGGTAATGTGGAACACCCGAAAGTTGATATTTTGAAATATACCACAATACCATTCCACCCTCACTTAATCTCAAGTTTATAGCTAGAATCTATAAACATAGAATAATTAATTCACACATAATTTGATAATGCATGTATCTGAGGCAACTAAGTTGTACTTTTCCTAGAAATAAAAAAAAATGGCAGCCAGTCCAATGTTTCAATATTCACGTTTACCGGTTTCACCAATTTTTTTGAGGTATGCGCCTTAATCGATAAAACAGCTTGTATCAGATAGTTACGCTACTGATACAAGACTAAATAATACCATCGAAGTGCAGGTGTCGCTACTGGCTTTGGAGATATCTCAATATTCCACTCTACCTGCCTATTCCACATTCACCAACTTTACTCTACTATAAAAGTTTTGCAATACAGCTTTATTTATTGACTTTGTTCAAAGTAATTTCCACCACATTCAATACACTTCTCCATCCAACAAAGCCAGTCCTTAAACCAGCTCTGCCAAGTTTCACCCCGGAGTGCGGCACACTCATTGTCCCATGCCCTCAGTAGGTCCTCACCGCTAGAAAACCGTTTTCCTTTTAGATTCATTTTCACATGCGGAAGAGTGAAAAGTCGCAGGTAGCAAGACCTGGACTGTAAGGAGGATGCTCAATAAGTTTCAGTCCAGTAGTGGTCAAATACTCGGTGCAGGCTTTGGGGGGGGTGAGCTGGAGCGTTGTCATGGTGGAGGTACCAAGTTTCCATTCTTGACTTTGGCCGCAGGTTTTTCACAGACTATGACTTTAGGCAGGCACTGGTCCATGTACCACTTAGCTGTGACTGTCTTCTATGTGTACAAAACGACACGATCCACAATCCCGCTCGATTTGAAACATACAGCCATCATTTTTTTTTCTTAACAGATTGGGATTTTCTGACAGCTACGGATGTGTCCTCATCATAAAAGAAGCAAACTTTTTTTTGAGCCTTGGTCGGCACATCGGAATAATAGAGCCAAGTCTCGCTACCTGTCACGATGCTGTTCACATACCGAGATTGCCCATTACCAAACATTTTCAGCATCTTTTGGCACCAAGTCGTACGACAAGTCTTCTGCTCTTTCGTCAGACTATGCGGTACCCAGAGAGAACAGAGTTACCTTACGTGTAAATAGTCGTGCAGAATGAATTAATTTCTGGTGCATCTATCTGCTGGTATGTCACTCTCCGGTCTTCGTCAAGCATTTTCCTCACAGCAGTAATGCTTCCCTCTGTTACTGACGTTCATGGCCTTCCGTAGCGTCCTCCAGAGTGAAATTGCCCCTTTGGAATTCTCTGTACCACCTGGATATAGTCGTACGGTGAGGACAATCATTCTTTGATGTAAGCGTCATTTCTTCTAAGGACTGATCTATGCTCAAACCACGCGTAGAGTTACACCATAAAACTGCCCTTATCTCATTACCTGACTACGATGCCCTAGTCCTCACTTTAAACTGTCAACACGAATGAACAACTAAATCAACAGACATGCTGCTGGCGGCTACTATGCACTCATGGACATGTCTCAACATGCAGCCTTCTGCGCCCGTTTGTTGTCATATTGCAAAACTTTTATAGTACCCTTAGTACTTGGGAATCACGGCATCTTTTTGAATACGGCAATCCGCGAATTCAGACTAGGCCGAAGAAGCCAGTCACGGATTTGTTTGTCTCTTAATTCTCATACTCTGTAGTGAGGATCAAAGTCCATACTACAAGTGCACTTGGCAAGTTAATTTTTTTGACAGGTCCGTCATTCATCTTTTTAGTCTTCGTTTTTAAAACAGAGTATTTGCACATAATTGTGGTGTTAGACGATTTCAAGATGTCGTACTTTTTACATAATTTAAAACAAGCAGCACAAGTCTAATGAAGGTAGATGCTTCCACTGGTATGTATTTTTGTTGTATTGATACAATGATGTTACTTTGGTAGGCGTTGGTAGCTTACGTCCAATGTATGCACTCAAACTACGCAATTTTGTCGACAAACAATGCAATGTAGATTTTGTTAGTTTGAAGAGATGCCGCTTTAGCATGGGCGTGCGATATCTTTCGCTGCTCTCTTCCTTTTCGGTCCCCGAGTATATTGGATAATCTTAGGGCTCTAGTGATATATACTGAACCACACAAGAAATGCGATCATTTTTTATAGTGGATAGCAAAACATTTTGTGTTTGAGCAAACAGCTGGGAAACCGATTGAAATTTACAATTCGTTGAGAAAAAATATATGAGCAATTACCATGGCTCGATCGTACACGGTAAGAATAATAGAACATTCTGTATATTCCATACATAGTGGTGCGCCAGTGTTCAATTACAAAATTTTGTACCTTAGGTAAATATATATTGTATAGGATTTTCTTATAGTGA